GACAAAAACAGTCACGAGCGGGATTCGATTATTTTTTATCTCAACTAAAAACCTTAATTAATTGAAAGTTATTAATTGGTCAAGCGGACCACGAAAACTAGTGAATTTAATTTTAGCTTTACTTCATTCTGTTTTTGAAAAAGTCAACAGTTTCATAGATATTTGCAAAGATGTAAAAACAAAAAAATTGCTGTAATATTTGGGGCCAAACTGTACAGATATATCAGCATAACAGAAAAAAAAAGTGAGTTACATAAACGTTGAAAGTAGAAGACGATGGTCGCAAGGAAAAGCGGTTCTTAAAACATACAGGAGGTAGTGAGCAAGAATGGAATAAAATAGTCCAGAAATGTATGGAGAGAAAGCGAGTGATGGAGGGAGGTAGAGGGAGAGAGAGAGATCGACAAAGAGAGTGAGAAGAAAGTTAAAGAGAGAGAGGTACAGCATGAAAGAAAGGAGAAAAGCTGTAAGAATGGTAAAAATGAAAAAGCAAAAGAAAAACCGTTAGATAATGAGAAAAAGAGACGGACAGACAAAAAGAATAGTGTTTGAAAGAAAGATTGGGAGAGAGAAAGAGAGAAGATAAGAGAGCTAGATTTGAAGAACGAAAAAAAAGAGAAAGAGTTTGTTAGAATGGTAAAAACTGAGATAAAAAGACGGTCCAACAAACAGTAAAAGATAAAGACATCAATATAAATTGTGTGTGATAGAAGGAAGGAAGCGAGATAGATATGAAAAACGGGAAAAAGGGAAAGAGAGTTCGTTAGAATGGTATAGCTATAGATAAAAAGACAGCCAGACAATAATTATAGAGCAATATAATAGCAAATTTTATGTATAGATATGATATAATAATAATTATTATAGATAGATAGATAGAGGGAGAGAAACATTAGATACATTTCAAGGTTGAAAAAGTTTATATTGTTTTTTTTTTGTCTCCCTCTCTCCGGCGGGTGTTCCCTAACAATTATGACAAAATCAAAAAAGGAAAAGGAGAAAAAATATCGATCCGCTTGATAAAGGCCATCCTTTCCGGATGGTAAATGGAAGGAAAGAAAGAGAAAAACTCATTCTACGCTCAATTTGACTTCGCCGCCACTCTTGATTCCGCTAAAAGGTCGGTGTAAACTCTTCTTTATGATCAAAGCTAATTAGCACAAAAAGGGAAAAAAATTTCTCGTGTAAATCGAGAAAAAAATCACATCCTGAAATTTTAAAAATGACGATCTTTCTTTTCTCATCGAAACTTTTGCCATAACTAGCTCGCAGTCTAAATAGAATAAAATAATAAACATTCTTATAACCAGAACTGTCATTAAAGAAATGAAAATGAATTTAAGAAAATCAGCCTGTACAAAGAAATATATAAATATTACAGAATACTTTAATATTCAGATTGATTAATTATTTATAGCCTTAGAAATTCAGTTTTACCGAATCAAACTTCCATCCTCCTCTAAAACGACTTCAACCGCTGGAGATAATTAGCAGGGTTGGAAGGAAAATCCTTCCTACGATGTCCTGAGTCAGGGGCCGATAAACTTTAATACCGTCCTTGTTTACTTAATAACAATTGCCATTGTAAGTAATATAGTTATTTTGTACACAATTTCACTGAAAATAATTAATTGAACCCATTATAAGCTTATTGTTAGTTGTAAGGTCATACAAACACGGAAAATGCGTTGTTTTAACCTAAAAAAAACAAAAAAATTTCACTATCTCCTTGGAAAAAAAAGAAAAACATAGATGCGTTTACATACCCAGTCCTATCTCATCCACGGACCGAGCTTTCTTCTTTTCACACAAGAAATTATATTATAAGGACATAAACAAAACAACTAACCGATAACAAAGAATACAGAGCTTTTACAAAGGGATTAGTCATTTTTAATTTTCGGACGTTAAACAACAACCATTTTCCCACAAGATAAATTCGGTTTTATAGCAATACGAGATTTAGAAATGTTTAAAATAATTTTTTGAAAGTTGCGAATCAAGTGTTTTGAACATAATAAACATGCAACACGACATCCCTTAAGTTCTTGAAGTCTTTTTATTTTCATTTATATTTTGTGTTAAATAATAATCAAGTAATTCTCTTTCACCGGTTGTCCACAAGAAAAATAGTCCGTAATATTTCTCTATGCAAATTAGGCAGAAAGGGGAAAAATACGAGCTAAATCAGTAAATCTTTTCTCCTCAGAAGGCCTATATTACACCTTTCGGCACACTTTTATCTAAAACCATTTATCATGTCGAAACGTTTCTTTTTTAAATTTGTACAAAAGTGATATGTAAACAATCCACGCGAGGTTTGTTTAAAACTCAGAACCTGAAAATTAAATTGTTTTGTATAAATTTCACGTTTATTTATGGAAATATAACAAAAGGCTTATCCAGAATGATGTTATTGATCGTACATCACACCCTAAGCGTTAGTTGTCTCGGGTGATGGAAGATAATTTAACAGAAGTGGAGTAAACAGTTTTAATTTAGCCTATAAGTTGAATTTGTTCCTGGCTGAAATATGGAAGTAGATAACCCTAACATCATCTAAAACTTTACACGCTATGGGTATTTTTTACTTTTTTATTATTTAAGAAAAAGCTTTAGTGAATAAGATTTTTCTAACACCTTAATATAGATCTAAATATAGATTTCAGGCCATCCAACATCTACCAATTATGCATAATGAAATGGCAATTTTTTGAGATATTTGACAAGATTTGGTTTCATTTTAATGAAATTTAGGTTAAAGTGAAGTTGAGAAGAAGTTTGTTTCTCTACCTCTCTCTCACCCTGTCTCTCACCCCCTCTCTCTTCCTCTCATACTCTCTCTCACTCTCACTCTCACTCTCACTCGCACACTCTCTCTCTCTTTCTCTCTACCTATTTATCTATCTATCTATCTATGTCTATCCATATATCTATCTGCCTATCTATCTAACTATCTATCTATCTCTTTCTCTCACTCTCTCTCTCTCTCTCTCTCTCTCTCTCTCTCTCTCTCTCTCTCTCTCATGCACTCGCTCTCTCTCTCACAACATGTTTTTAAATGTATAATGTAAATTGTGTAACACGTTAAGTGTAAGACAGGTCCAAAAATCCGAGAGACCTAACTTCGTGTGATTAAATAAAACAGACATTCAATCAATTACTTTTTCCGTCTCTCTTTCATTACACACTACTTATGTTTCTGTTTTTATCATTTTTCTGGTTGCCTGACTGTCTTTTTTTCACATTACTTTTTTATCAAATTATCTGTCTGTCTGTTTCTCTATTAGTAAGGTACTTGAAAGGAACTTTTTTGGCATGGTAAAGGTAGAAGTAGAAATTGAATCAGGTAACCATAAAAAGCTAGTAAAAACAGCGTTTGAAAGAAAAAAAGAGTTCGTTAGAAAAGTAAAGGATGAAGTTGAAAGGCAATCAAAACAGATATCCAGAAAAAAGACATGGACTGAAACAAAAGTAATGTGTGATGAAAGAAGAACGGAGAGAGAGAGAAAAAAGTGATTGATTAATATTTTATTTTTATCATTTAGTCAGAATTTGATAAAAAAAATTGACGAGTCTTACATCCAACGTCAAGAAAGAGTGAGAAGGAGAGAGAATGGAAGAGTTTCAACTGTTTGCCCTTCTATAGCTTAATATTTTTTCCTTTCTCAATAATGTCATTTTTTAGTTTTATTTAATTGTTCTTTTATTGGTTGTTTGTTTTAATCCCAAAGTTGAATATTATTTTAAATTAGCTTGATTTTCGTATTTTCCTAAATTAATTTCAATTCGATCGAATGTAAATTATAATGTATGACATCTATTTGTGTTTCTTTTCTATTTTTTCATGTTGTTATATAAATTAGGAAATTTATTATTTATTCAAAATGAACTTTTTTTTTAAATTTACCTTGGGTTACTTATTTTCTCGTAAATGAACGTATGCGTCTTTAACTCTATGAATGGATTGATTGATAAATAATTGATTGTATTTTGTGGATATGCCCGTCACAATGATTCTCTACCCATTTTACCTGGTTTTTTCACAGATATTAAATGGCAGATATTTTCCTTTCCATATATAAACATCGGACTATTGATTTGTTATATTTGTTCCTCGTACAATGCCCACAAATGCGTGTTAAATTTGATTGAAAATTTGCTCGTTACTGATCGTGTAGGTCTGCCTATCTTTCAGTGTACATTTGTTAATTGTTTTTTGTTGTTTAAATCAATCAATATCACAAAGTATGTTTTTTAATAAATCATCTAGTAAAATACGTCTAAATAAATATATAATATTAAAATAACTGGGTTCAAGTTGCAAGAAAAATGGAAAGCTCATGGAATTTTTTTTTCTTTAAGGGTTTAATGCCCAGGAAAAGTTTAAATAGTGTGAGAGTTATTTTTATAAATTAAGTGTTTCACAAGTGAATATTAAGTTGAGTAAGCTTAATAATTAATTCCTTGTGGGCGCTTTGGCGAAAGTGAATGGGGTGTCAAGTGACGACCATGGGTATTTTAGTGCCCTTGTGACAATTAATGTCTTCATTTGTATATTACCTGCATGTTTAATGTATTAAACATATAACAGATTTTTCTTATGCTTTGTCTTGTTTTCTTGTAAAAAAATTAACGCTTGCCTGGCGGATGGTACGCTCGATATAGCAAAACGCGACCCTGCTGACTATGTTTTGCACGAGGTACATCCTGTGCGCAGTTGCGCGTTCAGTAACATTTTGACTGTTGTTAAATTGGATAAATTTAAAAAAATTATTAAATCTTTGAATGTTTGCATACAAAAGTGATAGAAAGGAAAACAATTAAAAGGTTTGCTTACACAATTTAAAAAATTTAAATTGGGCATACCCTAGGCATATTATGCAATGCTTTATAATATACTATTTTTTATTTTATTTGTTCGATTTTTTTGTTCATTGTCACGTTAAAAAAAATTTTAAACAATTTATGCTGTGACATGACAATCGCTCTCTCCTTACCATAGCATGCTGTCAACACATAGGTCCAGCATATTACGGCGAGAAGCATCTCCGTCGTGGCGGAATTGAAACGTTGCCCGTCAAAAAGGGTTGCCGGCTCACATTCCGACGAACTCGCGTTTTTGCACGGCCCAAACAGGCGTGGGTTCACGGTTGGCTCTCCGCGACCGACTGAACCACCCAGCCGTCTAGTCGCCCCTCTACCCGCAGGCCCAGAAAATAATCAAGTGCGCTGGAAATTTCCATGTATACAGGGTGGTGTAAAAACTTGGTCTTACCAGGTGTCAAACAGGCCTCAGATCGTCCCCGGCGATCTTTTATGTATCTTCGGATTCAATCGAAAGACACATTAGCAAAACTTCATATTTTGGTTATCTTTATGTTAAGTGTTAATACCTCAAACCCGGTCAATTATTTTAAAAAACACTATCACATACAGCGCAGATAAAGATGTTGAAGAGTTGTATAATATGAAGAAGAAAATACAAACAAACTAACTAATTAATGCTATTAGTCAACTTTCTCTCTCTCTCTCTTTTTTTTTTTTTTTTGCTAATATTCGGGTGAATTTACCCCAAACAAAAAGCTAAAAACTCGGCATTTAATCGTGGCATTATTATCTTGTATGATTATTATATGATCAATATTCTCTCTCACACACACCCACACACATATCTCTCTCTGTTCACTCTCTCTCTCTTTTCTCTCTTCCTCTTACCCCCCTCTCTCTCTTCTCCCTTCCTCTTACCCCTCTCTCTCTTTCTTTTCTCTCTTCCTCTTACCCACTTCTATCTCACTCTTTCTCTCTCTTTCTTTCTTTTCTCTCTCCCTCCCTCTCACTCTCTCTCTCTCCCTCCCTCTCACTCTCTCTCTCCCTCCCTCTCTCACTCTCTCTCTCTCTCCCTCCCTCTCACTTTCTTTCTTTTTGCTACAGTTGTTTTGACTCTCTTCTAGTCTGTCTTCCTTATACTACCTTCACAACCAATTTGTTTATCGGCTTGAACTCATTATCTTTCTCACTTTTTATCTCCGTCCTTTCCTGTTTTCATATCCTTCGTCCTCTTCTCACTCGGTCTTTACCGATTTTCTATTCTTTTATTCTATCAATGACTACCACATAGTGATATAATTATTAAGTTATATATGTCTATGTACAAGAGTTGACACTGTTTTCTTAGGTAACACTGGGGGCACACTTCTTCCGGAAAGTGGGGTTGTTTTTTAGGTCTAAGTTTGTTTTTAGTTAAAAACTTTCTTTCTTACTCACTCACCCTCTGTATATGTGAAAAAGGAATAAGTTGAAATGTTTTAATATTTCAGTATTCTATCCTATTTGTTTTATTAATATGTACATTTTGGAAATGTCTTCTTTCAAAAGTTTCCAGCTATTTAACCAGACCTTTGATAATTTAGTTACATTAACAAACACGGTAAATACATTATACAAAATCAGAACAAAACGTCAACTGGACCTCAATGTTTAACAATGGAACAGGACAATATGTAGGAGAGAAAATTAATGATTGTTTGTAGTATTAAACCTTAACACGTCTGGTCATAAAACTAGCAATTGTCAGAAATTTATACTCACTGCGTAAGCTGAATGGCACAAATAAAATAAAACATAAAATGTAACGTTGTCCGTTAACGAAACCTATATAAAAACGTTCTTCTTCAACGACTGTAATATACAGGGGCGAGGGGAAATTATTGGGATAATTCGCTAAGCGTAAAAGCGGTAAGTGACGGCGGGTAAATATTTATCCAAACTGTGGAGCAATTAGAAGTTGTAAAAACAACTTTACCTTTTGCTATTAAAGAAAATCTCAACCACCTAAGACGATTGTGAGCATAAATGCAGGAGAGAAAAGGATTTGGCCTTACTTTGTTTACAATTCGCTAGTTTTCGTGGTCCGCTTGACCAATTAATATCTTTCAATTAATTAAGGTTTTTAGTTGAGATAAAAAAGTCAGTGTCACGAGCGGGATTCGAACCCACGATCTTCGGCTAGATACGCCGCTGCTCTATCACTTGAACTGTCATGACCTGTTTTTTCTGTTTGTTTACAATCCCTATCAAACCAGCCCGCTTTATTTTGGATTTTATCTCCTTGGGTACTATCTGACCTGTTTCCCCATATGAGCTGTTTCTCTAATAACTTGCGTTAGTTCATTAATTGCAACCTGAAAAACCTTAATTTATTTTTATAAACTTGATCAAACTCAGTCGATTTTAACCTTGGTAGAATTAGGAGGGCCGTATCTTTTTTCCTACCTATATTTCAGCTCTTAGTTATTAATCAGCATATGATCTGAAAATATTATTACTTCAAATATAGTGTCAAAGTTAAATTATTTGACTATATATAAAAATTTGTGTCATACACAACGGTAGTCAATGACTGATTTACCAGGACCCTCCAATAAACGTATAATTCCCATTTGGGTTACTTTTTGTCTGGCCATTTAAAATTTTTACATTCGTACTTTCACACATCTGTATGAAAACATTTCCTTTTCTGTCCACAAAGTTGTCTTTTGACTTCCGATATGCACTCACCTCTAATCGAGTACCATTTTTTTCAAATTCTTGGGGTAAAACCTGCATACTCCCAACTCTAGCATTCAGATCTCCCATAACAAATATATTCGATTGGAAATTATTAGTAATCTAGTTATCTCCACCAAGACCTTAGAAAGAATAATTAATTGATTGAAAGAAGTAACTACGAAAACGTAAATGGATTAATTATTTGTAATTATAAAATTTTCTACGTTCGAGTCAAAATTCTCAAAACATTTATTATTTTCTCCATTGTTATAGACTAGAAGCACACGTAACTGTTATCAACATTTCCTTTAATTAAATTAACTCCGTCAATATCCTCAAATGTAAACAATTCGTGAGCTGCACTATTTATCTTCATGTACAACGATCCTCCCTTAGCTGAACCCAAATTTGTTTCCTTTAGACACAACAACCTTAACGTCCAGGTCTTTTTTCGTTTAGTTTATACTTTGAAAATTAGATCCAATTCCTCTATCAATTACCCGAGCAAGAGACATTAGGTATTTAACAATATTCTCCCTAAACTATATTAGGAGTTGGCAGAAGAGGGATTGTCTGACTTAATTTGACGAGGTGAATTACGGGAAAGTCTTACTTATTTGCATTCATCTGTTTAACTTCCCCAATGATGAACAACGTTGCCTTCCAATTCTTCTGCGATTCGGCGTATTTTTCGGCCTGGTTTAACTTAAACCTCAATTAATTTCATATCGAACCTTGCTGAAAAAATCTGACATTGTTCCTAGAATATTTTCAGAATAAAAGTATTTATTATTATTCAGAAATCGTGAGATGCGGACTGGTGTGATGTAGGTTTCAGAAAAACATTTTCTTTATCGTGCCAACGTTTCGATCTTTATTGAGATCATCTTCAGGGCTCAAAGTGTTTGTCTTCTGTGTAANGTACCCTCAACACGACACGCAAGAATGGCACAATTACACAAAAGACAAACACTTTGAGCCCTGAAGATGATCTCAATAAAGATCGAAACGTTGGCACGATAAAGAAAATGTTTTTCTGAAACCTACATCAACACCAGACCGCATCTCACGATTTCTGAATAATTATCGATTAACGGTCACTAATTACCACACAGTATTTATTATATTTACACGCTGTGAAAGCTTTTTTTACTTATATTTTAATTGCAAAACAAACCAGAAAGTATTTATTCGCACGTTAAAGACCGTTCATAGAAAACTTGGCGTTTCAATTTATTTCTCATCAACTTTAATCAGGCGCTAAAGTTACGAGGATGTAACTGACAGACGGACAGAAGAGACCGCGACGCCGCCAGGACCGCAGGAAAGTTTAAAACGCAAAGTTCTTGCCATTTCTCAGTATACCGCCCAGAATTTTAACCGTTATATGTAGGTATTTTACTGAGAAAAATAAATGTTAAAACAATACTTTCCTCTTTATCACAGAACGTCTTAGCTATTGTGATTACAAACATTAGATTTTCATAGAAATGATGAATGGTGGAGTGAGTTCAATCCTTTTAAAAAGATAGTTCCTACTCACAGTAAGTAAGTGGAGGTAGTATTATTAATTGTGTTATAATCCATTACTGCTTTGAATAACAAATTAATAGAAATGATGAATGCGGTGTTCAATCATTTTAAAAAGATAGTTCCTACTCTCAGTAAGTTAAGTAAGTGGAGGTCTTACTGTGGGTAGAAACTATCTTGTTAAAAGGATTAGATTTTCATAATTCATTCATTTAATATACGAAGGATTAAATTGAACACAATGTAACAATGGACAAATTCATCGATTTTCCCTAAGTTCGCAACATGTAGAAGTCACGTCCGTTTCAATTCCACAATTTGAACAATTCGGACACTGTCGAACAGACTGTCCCGTGGGGTGTGGTATTGTCTTTCCTAAACACGTTGTACGATGATTTAAAATCCATATTCATTAAGGTCTTCAGGAAACAGTTCCTGGATTGTCCCCATATAACTCAAATCAACATGTAAGCACACTTGAAGTTAAATAATTTAAAATTTAATCCGGAAAAAAAAGATTGAGGGTTGATTTAAATATGATCAACTCCGTGAATATATGTTAAACCCCAGAAGAAGAAATTTTGTCTACTTTATTAGTAATTATGCGACGTTAACGATGACGGAGCTCCCAACAATATAGATTATTATGTTCTAGTCCATCCATTGGCGTGGTTTTACCATCACCAAATCTCTTAAAATGTAAATAAATAAACAAGACATAAAGTGTTTTGTCTTTTCCCGAGTTTTCCGGACAGAAGTGAGAGTTCATTTTATGATTCGAACCTACATGATTGTTCAACATTTAAAAATGACAAATTCCCTATTGTTCCTAAATACTCAAGGGTTTAGGTAGATACAGACCAAAAGGAAACTTTACAAGCTAAATGGTAAAGCTTAAAACTTCTTTTGCGAAGTTTCACCGAGTGCGTGAGTTGTTAGAAGTTCGGAGTACCAATTATCGCCGTATTTTATTTTATTTTTAGATTATTTGTTGGACCACGTTATCAAATGTAGCAAACAAAACAAAAAGCGAGATCACGCGAGACGGAGAGGAAAAAATATTTACAAGAATATCAAAAGTTTGATATCAGCGAGTTTGAGAACAGATGTATTCCACTATTTCTACTAGATCAGAGATACCGATTCCTCCAGAAATTGAACCCAAAAAGTAAAAACCTCTCTAAAAAAAGGAAACCATCTAACATATCTAAAAAATATCGTAGAGCACGTGTTTTAACCAGTTTTTTAGGTGAAAATCTAAACGATGGAGGTGTTAGTTGCGAATTTGAGTCCACTATTTCAATTAGATCTCAGACATCGGTCAGAAATTTTACCCTAAATATAAAAAAACTATTAAAATTAGTGAAAAGTGTCAAACACCTCATAACTTGGATAAAGTCGGTTTTTAACCTACCGGATGTAAAAACGTAAAGTAAAAAGTAAAACTTTAAATGTATTAAGCATACAATAAATTAACATGCTCACTAACCTGACTGCCAGCAGTGAGAGTTTATTTACCATTTGTAAATCACCCCTGTCAAAAGAAAAAAGAAGTTAAAATCATAGAATAGTAGACAAGGTACATTTTCAAAATAGATTGTATATAAATGAAATTTACCCACTGAAGGCAACAATCCTTGCATTAAATCAGCTACGATGAACCAGCTAACTGCACACTGTTTAACACTCGCGAAACAACTTAACGCACTGTTTAAATAGCACTTTTTGAAAAATGTAAAAATTGAGGTAAATATGGCTGGCTAAACATCCTTGGAAAAAGAAAACATGAATGTATTAAGCATACAATAAATTAAACATAGTTTACGCACAAAAGTTATGAGGTCATAATAAAAATTGTATTAACGTAACAGTGACCTAATGTGTAATTTAATAGTACTACATCTGCGGGATTATACGGGCTGGAGTGACAATAATAAAATATTAATACTAACATGCTCACTAACCTGACTGCCAGCAGAGAGAGTTTATTTACCATTTGTAAATCACCCCTGTCAAAAGAAAAAACAAGTTAAAATCAGAGAATAGTAGACAAGGTACATTTAGAAAATAGATGTTATATAAATGATATTTACCCTCTGAAGGCAACAAACCTTGTATTAAATCAGCTACAATGAACCAGCTAACTGCACACTGTTTAACACTCGTGGAATAACATAATGCACTGTTTAAGTAACACTTGTTGAAAATATAGTATAAAGATATGAAAACATTGCACCATCTAGAACAGAAAATCACAAGAAATGTTTAACATCTACAGTAAATGCAACATCTACACACACCAATTTTCTATCAGATCATAGAAAAAATTGTAATAAATATAACTATAATTTACAAAAAAGGAAGAACTTGATTACGCTGTACTGTATGAATACAAAATGAATATCTATATAAAAATTTTAAAAAATCGTATGTAATGTTTTTTAACCTTCAACAGAAATGAACTTTTTTCAACTAGTAAAATGTAGATTTTTAACATCCTTGATAGAATGCCAAAGGCTACAAAGCATACAATATTCTAAATGTGATGTTTGTGAACATAACTTTTTTTAAATTTTCTAATTCAACCTTTAATGCTCACACATGAGTTGAAAAAAGTGACAAATATCCTTCGTCAAACTCAGAATTACTGTTGCTTCTTGAATTTCAGAATTATACCAGTGGTGTATAGATTTTATTCAGCTATTTCTACTAGTTTTCAGATACCGACCGCTCCAGAAATTGGACCCAAAATGTGAAAAAACTTTCTAAAACTAATGAAACAGCTAAAATACAAAAAACGCGAAAAAGTATTTGTTTTAACTGGTGGTTGGTCAAGAAGAAATGCAACTCGTCAAATATCCTGACGCTTATTTGATAGAAAAAGTAATTAAGCAAAACTAGGGGAAAACCAAACTGAAATGGCCCGGATTCGATTGCACACAACAGTTGGGTCGACTTGAAACATTTAACTTTATAAAAGTTACGTATGTGAGGGAATTTTAGTCAGTCGTTATCAAGCCTTCGGCGCGTGAACGACACGGCCAAGGAACCACAACAAATCTAAACGGATTATTCGCACCCCGAAAAAAATTGAGGTTGTCTGTTATCCCCTTTCTCGAAGGAAACAAAACGAGTATTGTCTACTTTAACGAAAAGTTGTTTAACACATTTAGATATATCTGCAATAGCCAAGACGAAAAAATTCTCGGTTTCAGGAGTGGTTATGTTATGTTTATGTTAGGTATGTTATTCATTCTGTTCAGGCGATGATAACCGTTGTTGTTTTTCGCCTTTAAAAAAAAAATTCATTCTGCAGATAAATCACCGTAAAAAAATTATATATTCTGATCCTTATAGTGCACGTCAAACAATTCAGAACCCGTACTCCAAAAATCCACTAGTTCAGAACAATTGGCAAAACTTAAATATCTCTGAATGGCTCTTCATTTGGATACCAAGTCATGTCGGGATTAAGGGAAATGAGCTAGCTGGCAACGCAGCGAAAGCTGCACAGAAAAATCCCATAATCTCAGTTTTAATAAATCTTGAATATATAAAGTCTGCTTTCAAACTTAATAATTGAGAATCGGGAAAATCAGTGGAAACAAATCACTTACAACAAATTACGAAATACGAAAGAGGCTGTTAAACCTTGGGAAACATCCTTCCAAACTTCAAGGCGTGATGAGGTCATACTATGTTGATTACGTACGGGCACACAAATATGACCCACAGGCACCTCAAGGAAAAATCTATACCACCAACATGCCTTTGTAGTGATCAATTGGATGTATTACACATACTTGCGCCCTCTCCCTTTTGTCTAAGGTGGTCTCATTACTCCAAATTAATATAAAAGAAATGTTAGGGAATGAACAGGAAAAAATTGATCAACTCTTTGAAAGTCTAAAACTGAGAAATCTCTATAAACTTATATAAATCCCCCCCCCAAAAAAAAATTAACGGTGTGTTCTTCTTGAGGGCTGGGGTGGGCGGTTTTGCTTACCAGGGCTGTTGGGGTTTTTAGCCAGAACGGGCAGTCAGCTCGGAGGGTCTTATTGGCTAGCAGTCCACACTGGCAGATCCTCAAACCCCAAAACTTAGTAACTTAACTTAAAACCTGGGAGTACAATCCCACAAGGTACAGGGACATTCTTCCCTGTACACTGCTCGCTGATCGCAGAATGGAAAATGATTTTTTTTTTAGAATTTTTTTTTGTTGTTGGTGAGAGGCAAAAGGTATACCCGTCAGAAACAGTGGCGGATAGTAAAGGGGGGGGGGTAAAAATTGTGCCCCAAGTGATATCTACCCTACTACCTTTCTTAATTAAATCCTTTATTAAAAGTGAGGATTAACGTTTGTTTATTTTTAGTTTGTATTTTCTATTTTTTTGTATTCAACTAGCAAGAATATATCGGTTAATTTAATTAAAATTAATGGAATAAGAACAAATTACAAATATACAAATAAATTCCCTATCATTTTTGTGCAGTTTATTTCCAATAAATTTGTCTTTATTTTCTAAAAATTAAAAATAGTTTTAACTGCCTTTTCAAAACTTGCATTATTTGTGCAACAGACCAATAAAAAGAAAAAAAATACAATATTTGGTTTATATTATTTTTAAACATTTTCCAACATTTTTTTTAATTTAGTTGCAATAGGTTTTAATTAAGTGTGAGATTTTTTTGCTTGGCGACCTGTCAATCATCCGCCATTCTGTTTTTTCCGTTTTTTTTTTTTTTTTTTGCTTTACCGGCCTTGAAATACGCCCTCCTTGAAAAGGGAAGTAGGGTGGACGGATTATAAAAATTTCAAGGCTATTGTAATTTTTACTTCTATTACAATTCAACCGATTTATAAACTTTTACGTATGTAGTTAGAATAATTAATTGATGACTAAAAGCTAACTCTTGATCTGATAATTATCTTAAATATAACTAAATGAAGTCTGAGTATTCGTTCGTTTGGTGCGAATAGAACGTCAGCTTACTTGTTAAATAATATTACAACAATAAAATTTAATAAATTCTTTTTATAAATTCATAAAAGACATTTATTGAGGGTTTAAATGAAATTTTAACATCTAAACCGTTTGAGCCGGCTCGAGGACAAGTAGCCGAAAAGATTTTGATCCATAACCCAAAATAAATCAATACCCGAATTATATAATAACTGAAAACTGGTCAATTGACTAATTGCATTGAAATTAATTAAAAAAAGAAAGACCTAGACTTTTTTTAAAGTAATAAATGTAGAAAATAAAACATACCTTTTTCGAGAAAGAAAATGTGATGTCGAACCGATGGCCGCCAGGAGAGAAAGGGCGAATGGCGGGAATATAACTTCTCAGTCCTCCCCCCTATACGGATAATTAATCATACAATTCTCTCACAAATTAATTTAAACATTGGAAAATGTTTTAAAATAATATAAAACAAATATTGTAAGTATGTTTTTTTTAACTTAAGTTCAATTCTTTAAAAAATTTAATCATAATTTTGTACTTTCAGGGGATAATTGGTCAAGTTGGCAGTGATTGATAGGCCGACGATTCTACTATTAACAATTAAATAATTATTTCTCTTTAAAAAATAAATAATTAATTCTTAAATATTCGTTAATTTTTTGGGCTATTGTTTTTAGAAAGGATTTTGTGGAATGTAATATTTTTTTATTTACACGGAAAGGTCCTTGAATCACCGTTTCCCGCCATTCCCGTAGTTCGATTCAGGTTGCAACTGGCGGTCGAGGCTCGGCTTTTTCTCGGTGAGCTTTTATTTCGATTTATTTTAATTTTACATTAATAAAAGCTGCTTTTTCGTTGAAATCGAAGATAAATCGTTAATGAAATCATTTGTCAGTGGCAAATTTTAAATATTGATTTGTTAGACGTATTATTGCAACACAGCGAGACGGTCCAACCTCTCCGGATTGCCTCATGGCTTTGATGCAATTTCATTTGTGCTACCGGCTAACCAACTATTTTTTCAAGAGGAAAAAGACATTTTTATTATTATCAATAAATAATCAAATTAATTATGCTCTTTGTTTAAGATCTTGATTGAGATGAAAAAGGCAGCGGCGTATTGAGCCAAAGGTCGTAGATTAGAATCCTGCTCGAAACACTAACTTTTTCATTTCAACCAAGACCTTAGATAAAAAGTATAATTAATTGAAATAATTATACATTTTTAGTGTAGCAAGCGATATTCGAACCAACGACCTTTGGCTCAATACGCCGCTGCCCTACCCACTTAAGCTGTCAACTCATGAAGTCACAATAGCTCAAGTGGTTAGAGCAGTGGCATATCGAGCCAAAGATCGTTGGTTCACATCCCGCTCGCTACAATAAAAAAAGTATAATTATTTCAATTAATTATACTTTTTACCTAAGGTCTTGGTTGAGATGAAAACGTTAGTATTACGAGCGATTTTCAAACCAACGACCTTTGGCTCAATACGCCACTGCCCTGACCACTTGAGCTATCGACTCATGAAGTCACAATAACTCAAGTGGTTAGAGCAGTGGCATATTGAGCCAAAGAGTGTTGGTTCGAAGCCCGCTCACAACACTAAAAAAGTATAATTATTTCAATTAATTATACTTTTTACCTAAGGTCTTGGTTGAGATGAAAATGTTAGTATTACGAGCAACATTCTAACCCATGACCTTCAGCTCAATACGCCGCTGCCCTAACCACTTGAGCTATCAACTCATGTAGTCACGATAGCTCAAGTGGCTAGAGCAGTGGCATATTGAGCCTAAGGTCGTGGGTCACTGCTAAATATACATGAATTTTAAAAAAATTATTGATTCAATGCTGTTAAAAATCTACATGCTACTGGTTAAGAAAACGTTTACTTCTGTTGAGGGTTAACAAAAAATTACATAAGATTTTTAACAAATTTTACATGGAGATTCAATTTAGTATTCATAGAATAAATCATATTAACACAATCATATTTTTCCTTTTTAGCAAATTATAGTTATATTTAATACAATTTTTTCTATGATCTGTTAGAACATTTGTCTGTGTAAACTATATTTCATTTATTGTAGACTTTATACATTTCTTGTGTTTTTTTTCTAGGTGGTGTTGTGCCGTTTTTATATCTATTTCCTACATTTCCTTTTAAACAGTGCGTTACATCATTCCACGAGTGTTGGACACTGTGCAGAGTCAGTTTGTTCATGACTGCAGTTTAAGGCGAGGATTGTTACCTTCAGAGGGTAAATGTTATTTATATTAAATCTACTTTGTATATGGACCTTGTCTGCAATTCTCTGATTTTAACTTAATTTTTTTCTTTTCCCAGGAGGGATTTACAAATGGTAAATCAACTCTCTCTGCTGGTAGTCAGGTTAGTGAGCATGTTAGTATTAATATTTTATTATTGCCCCTGCATTCAATGTAATCCTGTCGATTTAATACTATCTGCCTATAATAATAAAATACAGTTTTATAAGGGTATATTTATATATAGTAAGTTTAGCATTTCACCTACCGGTAGAATTGTTAGTTGCCAGTTTGTCCCAATGTATTAGACTATTGCTATTAGATCTCAGATTCTGGTAGCTCCATAAATTAATATTTATTAATATATCAAAATGTAAAAACATTTTAAAACTAGTGAAATATCTACAATACCAAAAAAAAAAAAAAAAAAATTGAAAAAGTTGGTGTTTGAAAGTTTTTTGATTTTCCCCTGCCGGTGTGGAGTTAGTTGCTAGTTTGAGTATTGATGGATGTATCGACTATTTCTACTAGATCGTTGATACTGATAGCACCAAAAATTGTACCCAAAATGTAAAAAAACTTTAAAACTAGTGAACCATTAAAATACTTAAAAAATTCTAAAAAGTAGGTGTGTTAACAGGTTTTTAGATTTTCTCCTACCCGTGGAGTTATTAGTTGCGAATTTGAGAGTGTTGTATTTGACTATTGCTATTAGATCTCAGATACTGTAGCTCTAGAAATGGTACCCAAAATTTAAGAACTTTTTAAAACTTTTTTTTTTTTTTTTTTTTTTTTTTTTTTTTTTTTTTATTACCATCTGTATATGTTTATACATTTTGTAATTTTGTGACTTATATACACAGCACAGTTCATTTTGTCTTGAGGGGAGAGTGCAGCCATCGCTGCTCTCCCATTTTTCCGAGGGCTATTCCTTGGTGAGGAGGTCCCGGGGCCATCTCCGCTTTAGTCTTCTGACCGGGTTGTAGGGATGGATTTTGTTGGACATGGAATGAGCTAATGGGTTAGGGTGTTTGGAGAGTTTGTCATGGAATTTGGAGAATGTGGTGGGAATTAATTTATTTACAAATGGGATTTTGAGGTCTTTGTGGAGAGTCAAATTGGAAACATAGAAAGGAGCGTTCATAATGATTCTGAGGACTTTAGATTGGAAGGATTGTATTCGTTGGACGTGGGTAGGCTTAGCGGTGCCCCACAGTTCTAGTCCGTATGTCCAGATCGGTTTAAGTAATGCTTTGTAAATTGTCAGTTTATTTTTTGTCGACATGTTAGATGTACGTCCTAGTAATTTATAAAGTAGTCCAAAACGTCTGTTCAGTTCCTGTCTTTTTATTTGTATGTGTCGGTTCCAGGTTAAACGTGAGTCGAGGTAGAACCCAAGGTAGCGTACACAATCGGTTTTAAAACTAGTGGACCATCTACAATACCAAAAAAATTTGAAAAAGTTGGTGTTCGAAAAAGTGTTTTGATTTTCCCCTACCTGTATGGAGTTTGTTAGTTGCTAGTTTGAGTATTGATGGATGTATCGATTATTTCTGCTAGATTGCTGATACTGATTGTTCCAGAAATTGTACCCAAAATGTAAAATAACTTTTTAAAACTAGTGAAACATCTAAAATATCTAAAAAATTTGAAAAGTAGGTGTATGAAAAAGATTTTCGATTTTCCTCTACCAGTGGAGGTGTTACTTGCGAGTTTGAGTATTGATGTATTCGATTATTTCTATTAGAACACTCCAGAAATTGTACCCAAAATGTAAAAATCTTCAAAACTTGTGAAATATCTAAAATATCTTAAAACTTGAAAAAGTAGTTGTTTTAACAGGTTTTTAGATTTTAACCTACTGGTGAAGGTGTTAGTTGCGAATTTGAGTATTGATGTATTTGACTATTTCTATTAGACCTCAGAAACTGATTGCTCCAGACAGTATAAAAAGTCATAGGCAAAGTTGATATGAAAAGTTGGAGTCAGAGTCATTGACAGTCGGAGACAAAGTTAAGATGGAAAGTTGGAGTCATTCTCATAGGCAAAGTGGTGATGAATACTTGGAGTCAGCCAGAGTCATATCAAAGTTGAGATGAAATACTAAAGTCAGTGTCAGAGGCAAAGTGGGAATGAAAATTTGGACTCAGTCAGAGGTAGTGACATTCAGATACAAAGTTGATATGGAAAGTTGGAGTCAGTGTCAGAAACAAAGTGGAGAAAAAAATTTGGAGTCAATGACAGTCAGATACAAAGTTGAGATGGAAAGTTGTAGACAGAATCAGTGACAGTCGGAGACAAGATTGCGATGGAAACTTGTGGTCAATTGGAGGTTAAGTTGGGATAGATTTGTTCAAACTGTCCGTCTTTTACTATTTTCAGTTTTAACTGACTTTTTATCTAGTTTGGTGATTTCCTGCAATGTTTTAATAAATAACAACGGGTCTAAAAATGATCTATTTGAAATCAAAGCATTTTTTAAATTTCTCTGGTTGTTTGATCGAAAATTTAACAAACCAATATTGCACAAGAAGCATCGTTGTTTTACAGCTTGTGTATATGATTTCATAAGATAAACATTACGAAAAAGTATGTCAGTTTTTAAAGTGAAAAGTATACCAACAAAATAAATAAATATGGGCAATATTTTGCTTGTCCCTTAAAGCTAGAGAAAATTTGTTATTTGTTCCAACTCTTAAGAATTGAATCATATGTTCATATTTTGACCAAAAAACAGTTTTTGTTTTGTTTTTTATTTTTCCCTCTAGCAGTACTCATATTTAAATTACATTGTTTTGAAAATGTCAACTCCATTAGAAGCTCAAACAGCGATGGACAGCGACGAGGAAGAAGACGTAAGCGGAGCTTTGAAAATCGAAACACAGAATGTGGTGATCGGCGACGCGACCCCGGAAACGTCAGAACTGAAAAACGAAGAAATAGAATTGTACAAATCCGCTTTCGCTGCACTATGGCAAACCTGCGGGTGTTCGACAGCCTCGTTGAACAAGAAGAAAATCCTCGAGTTCTGTCAGTCCGTCCTGGGCCCGCTGTACTCCGAGGAGATCGGCAGTTCTCTCCTTGAAATGATGGAAATCGACGAGAATGGCAACGTCCCGGTTGAAAAGTTCGACGAAGCCCTCTCTCTCAAGTGCTGGAAGCCTGAAGTCATCCTAGCCGTCCACGAGGTCATCAAGTGCAATCCGGACTTCGTAAGGAATATGGTCGACTGGAAAAGCCTTTTCGGGGAGCTCGACGTCGAAGTCGCCCAAGAGGACATCGACGACATCATTTCTGAAGCTCAGAAGAGCACGGCGGCTCTCGTCGAAAGTGAGTTGGAAAAGCTGAAATGCTCTCGGAGCGACTGGGAGAAAAGCTCGAAACTTTTCGCCGCCATCAAAGAGAAACTCCACCTTTTTGATCTCGGCGGAAAATCTGGGCCGAACCTTGCGTCTGGGGAGCCAACCAGTTCCAACTTAAAAGAACCAGTTGAAGCACAACAAGCGAATTCTCAAAATGTTGAATAAAAAATGAAAACGTTGGATGTTTTTCAAATAAATACAACTTCAGTACCTTCATCTTCTTTTTAGTTATGGGGCATAACTTTAGAAAAATTGTATGTTACGTTTTGTGTATCAAATACTTTTAATCATAATAAGGCAGTCTAGTTCAGGTGACTATCAGTGCCATTGGGGCGATCAGATTGTTGTATCAGAGGTTTGGACCAAACTTTTTTTGGCGATTCCACAGTCCAAAATATAGAACAAGTATCCGCCGCTTCTTGTGAGTAGGTCCTGGTGTCGTCAAAAAATTTGAATGTTGAAATTTTCCGTTTTTTAATATTTTTATTTTGCCGTTCTACTTATTCACATCACCTATGTGAATACATCATTTTCCAGCTTTTTTATGTAGATAGCAATAAAAATGTAGTAAAAGCTATCAAAACTTATCAAAAAGCAAACAATTTCTAAAAACTAAATTTTTCAAGTAAACGGTCATAAAATTTTTCGTGAAACTTATATGAAATTTCGTTTTAGCACTTCTAGGGCCCTAAATATACAGTTTTGTTTAAATTTAAATTTATCGATTTTTACTCCTGTAATTTTTCCGATTTTTAAGAAGTTCTTGGAATATTGTATTTAAGCGGCTATAATTCAAAAACGGCTAAAAGGATTTTTGGTGATTCTACACTCCAAAATATCGGACACAAATCAGCCTCTTCTTGTGATAGGCTCTGGTTTCGCAAAAAAATTTAAATGTTGGAATTTTTCATTTTTTAATAGCTTTATTTCGCCGTTCTACTCATTCAAATCAACTATGTGGATATACCATTTTCCAGCATTTTTTATGTAGACTGCAATAAAAATGTAGACAAAGCTATAAAGCTTATCAATAACCAAAACATTTCTAAAAACTACATTTTTCAAGAAAACTAGGCCATAATTTTTTTCGTGAAGCATGAAATTTTGTTTTACCACCAAAAAAATTTCCTAGGCATAAAAAATATTTCCATATTGCCATGGCCTGCCAAATCACCAGATATAAATATTATTGAAAACCGTTGGGGAGAGCTGAGTCGAACAGTATATGCACAAGGGAAGTAGTTTAATCCACAGAGGAACTCAACGTCTGCATAGTAGAAAAGTAGAACAACATCCTGGCCAGTCATTTCACAAGATCTAAATATTATTGAAAATTATTGGGGAGAGCTGAGCCAAGCTGTTTATGCACAAGAGAAGCAGATTAACCCCACAGATTAATTCAAAGTCTACGTAATATTAAAGTAGAATAACATCCGACCAAAATTCATAAAAAAACTGTACAAATCTCTTCCAAAAAGACTGGTGGAAGTCTTGAAGAACCGCGGAAGACCAAAGCATACTGAGTTAGGTAAATAAAAAATGTATAACAATAAATACGCATAAAAATAATGAATGCCTATATTTTTGTCGCATTGAATTTTCATGTTTTTCTTATTTGTTACATGAATACTGTTTATTACAAAAACATTGATATATATTGGTTATTATTAGAAATTTTGTACAATCTAAATCAATTTTATTTTATTTTGTTATAAAATTTTATAATTTTATTTCTAGAAATATGATTATCGAAAAAAATTGGGGGTAGTCTACAATTTTGTTAGGGAGTTTATCTGTAAAGTTGTTACGAGTCTTGTAAAAGGTCTAGATTAACAAGATGCCTCATTGTTGGCCTTCCGTGCGGACAATTCTAAAAGAACATAAAAAATTTCACATAGAAAAAAGTATATTAAAGCAGATGAATATAAATTTACCCATGGATGTTCAATAGTTCCCATTTGTGTAACCAATCGTCTCATCTCTTTTAAGCTGAGTGCTTTACCAACCATCACAGATTTTCTGCACGCTCGTGATGCAAACATTGCCCTAACTCGTGAAGGGCGGCAATCACTATTTGGACTATCCTAAATATTAAATACACAAGAGAAGTTGTCTTTTGTATACTGTTTTTGGTTTTGGCAAAGCTATCTGGTGTTGACTGCATCCCAGATGAAATGCTAACCTGCTGGTGGGCGCGCTAGCCAGCCGCCATCACAGACCACTAGACCTAGAGGCTCCTTTACTGTCTTAAGGTGGATCCAGAGTGTGGTATTCGCTGAATGCCGATTGCTGCTGAACATTTTCCAAATCTCAAGATGCTCGTCTTGGCATTCGCCAAATAGCATGCCTTTGTATCACCACATACGGGTTTAATACAACCAGCCAGTTTGTACGGAAACAGTAAATACGCATTTGCCAAGTGCTGTGTGAGTGCTCTACTTACTACCGATCATGATGGACAACAGTGGAACTGCCATTGCTGCTGCTGCGGTTACTATTTTTTGTAGTGGCTACAAACTCAGTCATAGAGTACAGTTACCCCATCTTACTTGTAAAAAGCATTGTTCCAATTCTTGTGATTTGGAAGAGAAGCATTCCAAATCATGGTTCAGCTTGGTACAGATCAAGGAACTCCAAGACTATAGCGTTGGGCCAATCCATTCCCAATTGACAGAAACAACGCTACGATGTTCTTTCATTAATACATCTATAGTAGTTAGGAATAGTTTATTATTTAGCAGTGTTGATTGATGATTATAGTGGATATCCAAACAGTATAGTTCATTCCCAAATGTGAGGATGCTATGAAGTTTGGCTATTTCATGAATATTTGTGCACTTTGAAGTGGACAAAGAAACCAACAATTAGTCAAACAATGCAGCACAGAATATTGTTGCTCAGCAAATAATTGAGCATCCACCCCCATTAGTCGGTATTCAGCGAACCTTTGCTTGGCAATCGGTGAATCCCGCATGTCTGCAGCCACCTTTATATCATTGATTACCTTATTTACATGACTGTACGGAACCCCTTTTTGAGGATGTGGATTGCACCATTTACGATTTATACATTCATGGAAAAGTCCACATCCTCTGGAGGTCCAGGGCATTTTGCTCTGGGGTTCTCCATGACCCCAGCCAGCAGGAGCACACCCACCAAGCACCCACCCCATCCAGGATGCAGGAAACAAACACATAAAATACAAAAAAAATGTATATACTGCACACTACTAAACATTAAAACAAAAAAAGCATACCTGAAGCATGAATATCAACTCATCTATGTCCTCCCTCCCGAATAGCCAATTTTTACTCATTGGTTTGGCAGACAATGACACCCTTTTGGTTGGAGGAGCTTCATTGAAATAATACAAATAAAATTATCGGACTTTAATTGAATATTCTTAACATCATACCACTTTTGTCGATTTTAAACTCAAAACCGTTTTTCTTGAATATGTCTAAATTGTCGAAGAGAATCGCTTCATTTGCCGCAGTCAAATCAAGTAATTCAGGCCTACAATATTGAAAGGAAATTCAAAAGTACCTTATAAAAAACAAACAATTATTTAAATTTAAAAAACTTACATGACTAATTTCTGGTTGGTAATTACAGTAGTTTTCTGTAGTGTTTCAAAGTTGAATTTTTCATCACTGGCATGCTGATCAATAATGAACAGATCCGAGCCAAGTTTTGTTATTATAAAGCCAAGATTGAATTGACCAATAATGTACATCTTAAATAAAATTTATTATTAAAAAAAAAAATTAATCCTCAACACGACACGCAAGGATGGCACAATTACACAGAAGACAAACACTTTGACCCCTGAAGATGATCTCAATAAAAGATCGAAACGTTGGCACGATAAAGAAAATGTTTTTCTGAAACCTACATCACACCCGACCGCATCTCACGATATCTGAATAATTATTATTTAAAAAAAAATTACTAATATAAATTGTTTTTACCATAGAAAACATCTCTTTGGAAATCTCTCTTTTCAACTCGTTTTCAGCTTGATCATTTCTCGTCGGATCGATCACCGCCCTGAAACGAATCAAAGGCAATGTCTTTACCTTTGATTTGGACTTCTTTGCCTTTAACATCTCAATGTCAATATTCATCCCTATACATTTCTTGCCTCTTTCGATATAGCTGTCGTATTCAATTTTTTCCTCAGGTACTACAACATTGTTTTTAGCAGGTGTGTCTAGATTTTCAGGAATTTCTTCAAAGTGACATTCAGCTGGATTTTGTGTCAGATTTTCAGGGATTTCTACAAAGCAGGCTTCATCAGATGGGTCTGTTTGTTTTTCAAAGATTTCTTCGACTTTAACGGGTATTTGTGTCAGACTTTCTGAAAGTTTTTCTGGATGGGTTTTTTCTAAATCAAAAGCATCAGAAGCTGATTTCTCTAATCAGAAAATACAATCAAAATTTCAAAAATTTACCAAAAATTTTAAACCTTGGCTTGAAATCTGTCTTATCATTACAACGTTCAGGTTTCAAATTCCCAATGGATCCCATGACTTCCAAATTTGAAGAATTGGTTTCATTTTTACAATTATGATCGGCTGAGTTTTGTCCAGGTTTGAATAAAAATGAATTGAGTTTTGACTGTGCTTTTTCGATTCTAGGCACTAAAAATAAATTCTATTAAATCCTTGTGTTGAGATTTTTTTATATTAAACTAACCTTTTGTCATTGTTAAATTTGGTTCGTTATCAGCTCCACGCTTTAAGTCTTTCCTCCACTGTGAGAAAATTGATAGATTTAACTTTGATTCTTCTGATATTCTACTAACATCCACATTCTTCTCAGGTACATTGTTCATGGCATAAGTGGAAGGAATAGTGCAGAAAATTTTATTAAGGGAAGACTGCAAGAACACATTTTTTTAAATCAAAGTTTTAAACCAATTCTTTTATTTATAAATTAGACAAACCTTTATAATTGCTAGAAGAAGTTTTTCGTGTGCAAGGAAAATTTGTTTTTTATCAGGAGTTACATTCACATCAACGGAATCTTTAGCTACTTTGATATTTAGGAACACGAAAGGGTATTGATTAGGATTATACTGCCTGTAAACTTCGTTAACTGCTTTCATGATCTGTAATTGTTGTAATGTAATTATTGATAGAGTTAAAATACAATAAAACTAAACAAAGCAAAACGGAACTTGCAAAGAAAAAATTCTGTCAAAGGATGATATTTCTATTGCGACTCAAACATGCAAATTTTAGCTAAGGAATGCCCAACCAGCCCAGATCTTATTTTTTAAAATCACCCTGAAAGTTCACTTCCTAGGAGGAAAATGTGTGGGATGCTGAGATTTTAGAGGAAATTTTTGTGAGGGGTGAATGACAGTCAGTGACAGCCAGAAACAAACTAGCATGTTTTTACTTTTAAATTACCTTCAATGATTCACAAGGGCGGGAGTTGATGTAGTAAAACTGTCGGTCCCCAGTCGCACGGCCTGAACCATGTGCACACGAAGAAATAAGCCCATCCAGATCAAAAATATCGCAGTCGCTCTTTTCAAGTTTCAACTCTTCAAGGACTTCTTGTGCCGGCGGATGCATGCTGAACACTAAAACGTTGTTCAACTGATTTTAAAACGTATTCAATGCCCTTGGATAAGTCTATTTACCTGTTTGGCACCAAAAATGCATGATATGTTCTCTTTCACAGTCTGGCAGCCTTGTGTCGAAACTACAGTTGACCTTGCACCTTTAGCCATTTGATTAATACAAGTAATCCTTTAAAAAAAAGTTTTTAGCAAATTTTGGATTAGTAGGTACTATAAAACAGCCAACCTGGTATTTGTGGCAATCAGACAGTACGAGTAAAGAAACTGGACCATTTTATTGTATTCCCTTTTAAGATTTTTATGAAATTCCTTTTGCCTAACAGGCAGGCTGTGAAACAGTTTCTCTAAAATTACCGTCGTCCCAATCTGAAATTTTACATCACAGGTAAAGTTACTACAATTTAAACTTTAAGCTTAGTAGGTAGGTTAGTAAAAAAATTAAACCTGGCGTGCACATTGAGTTTCTTGAATTATGTCGCCATAGCTATCGAATACCAGATGAGTGCCACAATCCTGCGACGTGTGCCTCGTAAGAACACTAAGGGAGCTTAGTGCACACAGTGAGCTTAGCGCTTCACCCCTAAACCCGAAGGTCTCAACACCAACCAGGTCTGAGAAATCCCGGAGCTTTGAAGTGTGATGCTTTAAAGCTGTAAACATTTGTTTAAAATATCCTTTTTGTCAATCAATAGGACATGATGCGTACTCAAACCCTTGAAGTTATCGGGATGGACGCCGTGCCCATTGTCGGTCACTTCTACACTCTCGCTTCCATAGTCTTTCAGCTTGACTTCGATGACAGTCGCGCTTGCATCGATGCTGTTTTCGACCAGTTCTTTCACAGCAGTTGCCAGATTCAAGACAACCTGTTCAGCGTTAAACAAAATAAAAATCAACAAAATATCAAATAAATCAAAATGAACTCGTACCTGTCCAGAACAAATCCTGTGGACTGAGGTCTTATCAATAGCTTTTATCACGCTCTCCTTGCTCATTTTATTATCTATTATATTTTTCTATCCTATTGGATAAATAATACTAATATCTACGAGTTAAAAATCCGCGGTCACGGTAAAGTTCATGTAAACTTCACATCGTTACTGATAGGACCTTAACGGTAGACTGCAATACTGCATCATTGAGAGCACTGTCATCGTTAACGGTGATAAAACTTAAGTGAGGAAAGTAAAATAACTAAAGGAGCGAAAGTTTAAACTTAATTTATTCTTTTTATGTAGGGTCTTGGTTGAGGTAAAGAAGTCAGTGTCACGAGCGGGATTCGAACCCACGACCTTCGACTAAATACGCCTCTGCTCTACCACTTGAGCTATCGTGACTTAGATCCTCTCGGAAAAATTAACCTATGGACTTTACTTGATGATAACTGGAAAGATGACAACGTTATGGTTTTATTATGAGACGGTTAAAGTAGGATTAAGCTATGAATTTTAGATGATGATGATGTCACATTATGCCAAGGATGTGTATTTTATTTGATGGTAAACTTTAAATATGATGCTATGGATTGAATATGTTGTTTATGTTAAAGGAAGATTAATTACTTTATTGGGCTTAATATAATGACAACCCATTAGATTAGATTATATAGAAGGGCTTTTTAAAACCTGCACACCGCGATCAGTTGGTCCATTGTGCATCTATATTTATATATATATAGAGCTTGTTAAGAAGGCTTTTTACCAGACCTCAAAGCTTTTTCAAAGGCTCCTGAGCGTATCTTCAGCCCCTGGCTTTTCTTATTTCAGGATTAGGTTTCTCAGCCTACATAGGCCTTCGCACCAACAGAGGTTATGTTACGCTGTTTCTTCTTCTTCTTCTTGGCAATATCTGCACAGGCTTGTTTCTGCCACTCCGAGTCTATACATATGCTTCTGGAGTCTACATTATCCAGTCAGCAGTCCAACTATTATTATAGCCCTAGAACATCCTAGATTTAGTAGTTTAGGCTCTTTTATAAATGTGCTACATTTCCATTGAATGGAGGACTTATTTTTAATCCATTGTCTAATGGATCTGCGTTTTGGCTTTCCTTGGCAAATTATTTTTAGCAGTCATACTTGATTGTACTAATTATTTCAATTAATTATTCTTTTTATCTGAGGTCTAGGTTGAGTTGAAAAAGTTAGTGTCAAGAGCGGGATTCGAACCCATTTGTGATATTGTTAGAACAGCAGTGTATTAAACAGGTCGTGGGTTCGAATCCTGTTTGTGACACTAACATTTTCATTTTAACCAAGACCTTAGATAAAAAGTATAACTAATTGATAAAATGAAGACATTAAATGATGATTCAGCTATGGACTTATTTTCTTATTTGATGATAAACTTGGAATATGACAAGTTATGGGATTTATTATGATGATACAGTTAATATGATGCATGCTATTAACAATACAACCAATTTTGACGGTATAGATCTGTGAGGAACTGTTAAACCTTCCAACATCCAACATTTCCAATCCTTTCTACTCAAAGTCCTCAGATTCAATGTAAATGTTCTTTATTATGTCTCCAGTTCTACCCTCCACCCTGTAATCACTTGTGGGAACAAGTGGAATAATAAATTATTCAGCAATAAGATTTCTGTTTCTGAAAAAAATTCCTCCACAATTACCTTAAAATTTGTTTTAAATTTATCAATTTGTATGGTATACCATACCTTCTCTTATCCCTTGGGCCCAAGTCTTGTCAAATAGTTCTTTATAATTCTATAAAGTGTATTAAGGAGAAATGACCCCGCCTCCTTTCCAAGGATGGGTGAAATTCAAGTAATAAAATGAACTGCTATTGGAGAATAATAATAATTCAATTGCTTTAAAATTTGAATTAAAAATCAAAGATATTTGTTCAAAAGAAAAAGCAGGCGCTTACACTTTTCCGCCCAGAAACTGCAGTTGAATAGTTCATAATATGCCCATAAATTTCCTATTCTCGTGTTAACTCACTTTTTGAGTTTTCTTTTTAGTGGGAAAGGGTTGTGTATTGATGGATCTTGCAAGAATCTTACTAAAAAAAAACCTTTTCTGTTTAATTGTATCAAACAACCGAGAAAGGAGAGAAGGAAGAAGGAAAACCATTATACATTATATATACATTAAAATATTTATATTTATAATATACTGTACATTTATATAAATTCTCTTTTGTCTCACAAAATTAAAAACAGAATTTTTTTTTAATTGCGCCTCAGAACACCTAAAAATAGGACGACTCACCTCAACCCAACGCTACATTTTAGAAAAATAACACTTTCCCCCCTAACGTGTATTACACGAATAACGAATTGTTTAAAATAAAATTTCTTCAAAGAACAAAACACTATCAACAATTACATTGTCCATTTTGACTCATTTACAAAAATTTGTTTCATTTCTCATTATCATATTATAAACAATCAACAAACAAATATAACACTTTAAATTAATTTAAAAAAATAATAAGATCACTAAATCCTTTTCTTACATATGAAAATATGCACTTTTAGGAACAAGAAACGATCGTTCACAGAATTCCTTGTATTCACTCAACTTAAATATATTTCCCTTATACAACTGGACGGATATTTTTTTATTATTAGCGTGTTGAAGTGTGTTGTCTGAAGCCCTGTCAGTTCCACTCCTTGTCAATTATGTACACGGATGTTTTTCGATTAAGTTTGGGTCAACAATCCGATCTGTCTTCTTCAACAAGCTTCTGTGTGTCTTTCCCTGGAACAAAATAGTATATTTAATTTTGAAGCTACACTGGAAAAAAAAATGGAACAGAGCTATGGTGGTTTACTTTTGTAGTCTCATTGCTGGCATGTCTTTCATGATTTTATTTTATTTTATTATTATTTTTTTTTTTTTGTTAGCATAAATTACAAGGTTTTTCTTACCAGTATCTGCACTGGGATCAAGTTCTCGGTGGGCTTTTGGCCTGCCTTTGCCACTCACTGATGTCCTAACTGTCATACTCGATGGCGCTAAGATTGCTGTCGGTGGCTCCATTGTCCCCCGAGAATTCATCTCCTAAAAAAAATTTCACTGGTCAATTTTTAGTCAGGATTTTTTTCACTTTTACCACTCACCTCAAAAAGAGATCCATTGTTATCCGGAACTGCTTCCAACGTTCCCAATGCATCGTACATTGGGTTGCTAAAATCTCTATTTTTAGAACTTATATCAGCCATGCTGTAGTTCGATTCCATGGTTTCCTGGATAGAAAAATTCTTAAGTGTTTTTTTTTACTTTTAAAATAAATAGATACTTACAGCAGGAATAGAAGGTCCATTGCTGCTGAAGGCAGGGGATCCAAATTCGACATTGGTACCTTGCCTAAATGACACACTTTGAGAATTCGTCAAGCTGCCCAACCCAGGCCCTTTCCCACTAAAACATGCACACAAAAATTTAGCATTGACAAGATATTTAACAATTTATAAAATACTCACAAAGACCTTTTCCTTAAAAAGTAGAATACTGCCCCTCCGGACAAGAGCACCAGAAGAATGACTAAAGGTACGATGAAGAACATCGATGTGGAACTTTGTGCTTGATTCTTAAGGACGAACGTGTCACAGAACGCCCCCGAGAAGTCCTCAGGGCATTTACAGATCAGGTTGTGGCTGCCTTCTTCCGCCTCGCAAAGGCCGCCATTTTGACAAGGGCAAACCCTCGGCAATGGCAAGGGTTCCTCAGTTGCTATTGAAAACCATTAATTTTGCTTGTTTCAAACTTTTGGAAGTAAGTCTCTTACCTGTATTACAGACAATTTGTGAACCCATCTCTTTGTTGTTGTCTGGGCAAATGCAGCTATGACCTCCTGGGATGATCACGCAAAGGTGGGAGCATGGATTATGATGACAAGGATTGGACAGTGTCATGTTATATTTCGCTTTGTGATAAACTGTAAAAAAAAACAATCAATAATATTGAGTCATTTAATTGCGCAAAGTAAATTTTTTACCTTTGACACCAGTTGGATTGACAAGATTTTTGGCTAAAATGACAGGTATCCCTCGACCGAATTTGTCCTGTTGGACTACTTCTCCTGTATCTTTTGTTATCCAGTATAGATTATTTTCAAAAACATCTAGAGCCAGTGGGTGATGGAGTTTTTCTAGAAAAAAAAAAGATAAAAAATTTGATTTTTCTACTCATTATTTTTTTCTACTTACCTCCTTTAAGTATGATTTCACGTTTTGATCCATCCTGCTTGATAGTTTCTATATGGTTTAGCTTTGAGTCAACCCAATACAGAGCGTGATCGCTGGCATAATCAATTGTCAAACCTGAAGGATGCACTATCCTTTCCGTGACCAACGCAGTCCTCCTTGATCCGTCTAGCCAGGCCATTTCTATCTTTGGTTCACCGCCTGCATCCGACCAGAACATCCTTCCAACTTGTGGATCGAGTACGATGGAAGTTGGAAAGCCTACGTTTTTATCAACTAAAGATCTCTTGTACCTGCCGTCGAGTTTTGCAACGAGGACTTTTCCTTTTGATTTTTCTCCTGAACGATCCGATTCTGTCCAATAGATATTATTAGCAACCCAATCAACAGCGATACTCGTTGGTTTAGAATTGTCAATAGTTGTTAAGTCTTGAGCGTAGCCGACTTTAACCTCTCCAGCTAGAGCATCGACCATATAACTCCTTTTAATTTGTTTAGAGTAGCTGTCGACCCAGAATACCATCTCATTCTTCGGATCATAGTCAATAGCTTCAATTCGTTTTTCATTTCTTATAACATCAACTTCTTTTCTCTTGTGTATTTGATATGCTTCAATGTCTTCTCCATTTGAGTATACAATTGATACTTTTGGATCATCAGCTTTGCACACTCCACTCATAGTATCGAGTAATGTGAACCCAGGCCTGCACGAGCACTCATATGTACCTTCGCGATTCGTACACAAATGAGAACACCGATTCAAACCGGTTGCACATTCATCGACATCAATGCATTTCTTTCGTTGTTCAGGATTCACAACATAACCATTGAAGCAGCTACAGACATGTGCGTTCTTTGTAACGTTGGTGCATAACTGTTCACATCCTCCCATGCCCATATCTCCCGGGCACAACGTTCCATAATCTTAAAAAAAATATATATAAAAATGTGTGAGATTTATTTAGATTTGTTAATTAGAGGTAAAGAGGCTTACGGCATCCTGCTTCATCAGATCCGTCTCCACAATTGTCCTCATAATCGCATACGTTTGCTTCAGGTATGCACTTTTTGTTGTCACATAAATACTCGTTCCGTGCACATGACTTCCTCGGATATACAAAGCACAAGGAATGGTTGTTTTCGTCAGATGCGTCTCCACAGTCGTCGACCCCATCACAAGTCGCATCCAAAGATACACATCTGCCGTTCTCACACTGATACCTGCCTCTTCCTGAACATGATGCCATATTTGCTAAAAATTTAAATCCAGTCAGTTTGAGGAAAAAAAAAAAAATATATATAATTCAAACTTACTGCAAATTGTGGTTGATTCATCAGAACCATCACCACAGTCATTCATACCATCACATTTGTCTTGGTGCGATATGCAAATATGGTTGTCACATTCAAACATTTGCTCTGGACAGTATCTAAAGCACAAACAATTTTTTTAAACTTCGCAATGAAACATAACCATACAATATACAATATTTAAAAATATATATCAACCTTCCATTGGGGAATCTAGGAGGACAGCCTTTTTCATCACTCATATCCCTACAGTCAACATCTCCATCGCAACGGAAATAAGAAGCTATACAGTGACCACTGGCACACTGGAATGTTCCATTCTAAAAAATGCAAATTATTAAAAAACATTACACAAACTTTCCTGCAATGAAAGTTGTCACCTTGCACTGGAAGTTGCCACAGTTATTTTCATCGGAAAGGTCAGTGCAGTCATCATCATGATCACACCTATAGTGCTGTGGTATGCACCTTCCATTATTACATTTAAATTCTGACTCAGAACAGTCACGGAACTTGTCATGACATAGGGATTCTGCTTCATCTGAATTGTCTCCACAATCGTTTTCAAAATCGCATCGCCACCTCCTGTTGAGATAAAAATTAGACATGTTTCTACAATGAATTTGTATTTAACTTACTTTGGGATGCATCGGTTGTTGCTGCATTGAAAGTCGGTTGCGGGATTGCATTTTGGACAGTTGTCAGGTAGTTCATCGCTATTGTCTCTGCAGTCATCTTTACCATCACATAAAAGCCACTTGGGTATGCATCTGTAATTGCTTCTTCCGGGACACCTCTGCCAGCCTGGTGTACAATTTTTCTGCCTGCAAAGGTACGCTGGCTCGTCTGAATCGTCTCCGCAATCGTTGTCAAAATCGCAATGCCATAATTTTGGAATACACCTTCCATTGTTACATTTAAACTCGACATCCAGATCACAAGGTCTATTGTCTGTAGAAAAATGTTTTTTAAAAAAATTTCTTTTAATATTTATAAAATTACTTACGACAAATGGTTGGATCTTCATCAGAACCATCCTTGCAATCTGGATCACCATCGCAGACCCAAGCATTAAGAATACACTTTCCATTTGATCTACATTTAAACTCAAGATCAGGGCAATTCAAGGCGCAATTCTTCTCTTCGGAATTGTCTCCGCAGTCATTAATACCATCACAGATTGTTGCAGAAGGTGTGCAGTGTCCGTTGTCACACTGGAATGCTCCAGGTCTGCAAGTACGTTTTGGACAGTCTGAAGGTTCATCTGAACCATCTTTACAATCAACTTCTCCATCGCATCTATATAAACAAAAGAAGTTTCATTTTAACTTGAGGTGAAAAAAAAATTTTGATTTGAACTTAAAACTTACTTCCAGAACCAGGGTATACATCTTTCATCATGTCCTCCGCATCTATGCTGGCCATTTGTACAGTTGGCCTTGCACGTTTTGCCATCAGGTCCGAGAATAAATTGATTCGGGCATGCACATTTAAAAGACACTGGTGAATTTACATCCTTGTAGCCGTCTGGCGATGCATCGACTCCTGGAACAGGTGAGAGTAAGCAGAGATGTGAGCATCCGCCGTTATCACCACCACATGGATTTGGGTACGCTTGCTGCCTCAGGGGATGGTACACGTGAATGTCATAAGGCCTGTGAGTTGTATTTCTCAAGACCTTCAAGTCTTTTCCTAAAACAAAAATTTTTTCAATCGTCTAAACAAGAGCAAGTTTAAAAAATTAAATTACCTGTGAATTTATTCGCTCTTGATATTCCTTTGATATTCCAGTCAGTCCAATAGATATAATCTTCAAAAAGCGTTAAAGCAAAAACATGAGGTACTTTAGCACCACTGATAACGATATGCTTGTTTTTTCCATCAAAGTCTACTGATGCGATGTAATCGAGGTGAGCGTCGGCCCAGTATATGCGGTCGGCAAAGTAGTCAATTGTGAGAGCATTGGGCCAGGCGAGGTCATTTTCATGTGTAAGGATCCTAACCATATTGGATCCATCCATGCCCATTTTACCGATGAAAGCTTGAAGGTACCAACTAGTGAAAAATAGATATCCAATGCCCGGGTGGACAGCGATTGCCCTCGGGTCTTGAATACCAGATTTTAATGTTTTCCTGTTGACCCCGCTGAGCTCAGACACATCAAGATGTTTGCTATGCCTGTCCAGCCAGTATAATTTCTTTCCGACCCAATCTACTGCCAATCCTTCAAGACCATGTGAATCATGTCTAACGATTGGTTCTCTTTTATTTGACCCAACCTTTGTACTAAAAAAAAAAAAATAATAATAATAATATTAGTAATTAGCAATAATCAATAATGAATTGTTTGTCCAACTAATACCTGAATATTGTTTTTGCTGTGACATCACAGAAATAAATCATGCTAGTATTGTAATCGTAGTCAAGAGCAACAACATTTGTAAGGTCTTGATGTATCAAAGAATACTGCGTGGCGTCAAGAGACATATTCCTTATATAATATTTATTTGTGAATATCAGCCAAGGTGTAGTTCTATCTCGTCTTTTGCATGTATGCTCGTCAGTTGCTCTGTCATAGTAGGTCTCATCACATTTGCAATAGTATGAGCCGGGAGTGTTTGAACAGTATTGCGAGCAGACACCTCGCATTTCAACACACTCGTCTATGTCTGCGCAGGCTTTGCCATCTTCTAGAAGCTTGTAACCGGGGTTGCATTCACAGTAGTAGCTTGTGAGAGTGTCAACACATTTGTGGCCGCACTGGTGCACCTCGACCTTGGTGCATTCATCGACATTGCAGTGAAGAGGCTCATCGCTATCGTCGCTGCAATCTGACACTTTGTTGCAGACCCTCTGATAATCGATGCACTGGCCATTGTTACACTGGAATTGCCCTTGTGTGCAATTTGTTGTGTTTTCCTTTTCTGAAATAAAACAATAATGAGCATCCAAATTTGAACTTATAATATGAAAGGGATACTTACTACAATTAAACTCATCAGAGCCATCTCCACAATCATCCTCACCATCGCATCTGTAGCTGTTCTTTATACATTTAAAATTCTGGCAGGAGAACTCCTGAGGTGAGCATGTCTTGTACACACCATGACATTCTTTACCCTCATCAGTACCATCTCCACAATCGTTGTCATGATCACAAGTCCATCCCTGGAGAATTTTTATTTGTATACAATTCTATAGAAAAATAATCAGAAGGTTACCTTGTTAATACATCTTCCGTTGCCGCATGTAAACTGGTCAGGAGCGCAGGAAGGTTGTGGAGGGCAGTTGAGAGCACTTGTATTTTCATCGGCACCGTCGACACAGTCTGGATCTCCATCGCACACCCATTTCTTAGGAATGCACTGAGCCCTTCCCCAGTCTTTGTTGCTCTTGCATGTGAATTCAGTCTCTTCGTCACATTTCCTGTCATTGCATTGGTGCCTGGTGTCCTCGTCGGAATTGTCAAGGCAGTCGTTGTCACCATCGCATATGTATATCCTTGGAATGCAATTACCATTATCGCAGGTGAACAAATCGCCAAAGCAAGTCCTTCCTTCGCTCTTGCAGTATTCCGGGGGCTCGTCTGAAGCATCACCACAGTCGTCATCCCCATCGCAATACCATGTTGCAGGAATGCAGCGGTGATTTGGACACCTGAAACTGCTAGGGGGACAGCTCGTCTTGGCACAGTGCAGTGGGTTTTCATCGCTGTTATCCCCGCAGTCATTGTCTCCGTCGCAGAGCCAATATGGTTCAACGCAAATATTTGTCTTTTCACATTTGAGATGCCCGTTAGGACAGGTGGTGTTCCTTGGGCATCGTTCATGTGTCTCATCTGAGGTGATATTGTCTTTGCAGTCATTGATTCCATTGCATACCTGTGCTCTTGGGATACAACGTTTATTCATGCACGTAAACTCTCTATCAGCACATGGTGGATAATTGCAGTCAATTTCATCTGATCCATCTTTACAATCATTTTCATGATCACACTTCCAAGAGCGGAAAATGCAACGACCGTTGGCACATCGGAACTCGTTCGGATTGCAAGAATGAAATGCTACAAAACAAATTGATTAAATAAACTAAGGATTAACTTATATGTTAAAATAAAAATAATGAAGTTGTTGGTTTGTCACCATTTAAACTTTTACACAAGTATTTCATCAGTTTCCAAATTTATTTAATTATTTCCTATATTAAAAACTATTTATTGTTATTGTTATAGAGTTATTTTACATTTTTATAAGGTTTAAAATAAACAAGTTTAAATAAATTTGAAAACAGATCAAATACATCATACATATGTAAAGGTTTAAATATAAATGGGAACATTTAAAATTTAAAAAGAAAATGGTGAATAATAAATTGGAAAGTCAAAATTAAAATGGAAAAAGTTGAGAAATGGAAAAGTTTAAATTTCAATGAAAAATTTTGAATTATAAAAGGAAAATTAAAAAAGGCTATGTTTAATCAAAACTTACCGCAGAATTTGCTGTCCTCATCAGAATTGTCTCCACAATCATCATCACCATCACACGCCCACATCCTTGAAATACATTTCCCACTGGCGCAGACAAATTTGTTAGGATCACATGTGATGTTTTTTGCTACACACATTCTACCATCATTGACTAGTTTCATTCCATCATCACATTTACATTCAGCCTGGAATCCAGTTAAAATTAGTTTTCGATCTGATTGGTATAGATTAATAAAAGTTTTACCTTTCCATTAGGTCCAGGATGACAACTCTTGGCACATCCTCCATTGCTTATATTGCATGGATTGACTACGCATTTTTGCCTTTCTGGTGAATACACTTGAATATCCCTCGGAGAGTCTTCTAATCTTTTTACGAGTTCAACCATATTTGCTCCTGTGTGTTTTTCAGCTCTATATACACCCCTGAGTTGTAAATCAGTCCAGTAGATATAATTACGGTGCACTGTTATGGCGAAAGGGTAGATAGTCGCTGAAATGAGCACTTCTCTTTTTGGCTTTCCTACCAAGTTGATCCTTTCAATCTTTTCTCGTACGGCGTCTGTCCAGTAAAGCATTTTCTCCTCATAATCCAAAGCCAGGCCGCTGGGCTGATTCAAGTCTCGGTCAATTATCGCCCTCTTCAGCGACCCTGCCATTGTAGTCCTGTAGATCTTGCCGGACGTACCGAACCTTCCCCAATCAGTATAATAGAGTGAGCCATTACAAGGGTCGACCACGATCGCCCTTGGCCGTTCTACCCGCGCGATCATGACTAGATCACTTCCGTTAATGTTCATAGCATAAATACTATTGTTTGATGAATCTGTCCAATAAATTTTTTTCTGCGTCCAATCGTAAGCAATACCTTCTGGGTTTATACCACGAGTAATGATGGGTGATATTTTCGACTGAATTGGATTGTCGGAAGGCATAAATGCAATTCTTGCCCATGGTCTGATTTGCGTAAAAAACAGTTTGTTATCTGCATAATCAAAATCAACACCAACAACATTTGTTAAGTTTCCCTAGAAAAAAAGGTCAATAGTTAATAGGTATTGTTTTAACAAGTTTTATATAATTGTCATGTTTTAATGTTTCTTTTAATTTACTTCATAGTTTACTGCTCTTTTCATACAAGTTTAAAATGACTAAAAATTATCAATTTTTTCACTGTGGATGACGCCATAATGGTATCAAGCTTTTTCAAAATTTTCTGAAAAATATTAGCCTTGTGAACAAATTAACCAAAATAGGTCCTTCAAAATAGGAAAAGTACAAAAACAAAGGCATTTTGGATTAAAATCAAGCTTTTCTTATAACCAAGTTAGTGCACAACTTGATTATTTGACTTGAGCTTTTTAATTTTGCATAAACACTACTGGCAACAAGTTTCTAATTTTAGCAGTCTTCCACTTACGATAATTTTATAATTAATAAGAATGGCATATGATATGATGCATGCAAATAAAAAAATGACTTTAAAAAAATAATATTTGCGATTTGATCAATAGGATTTTTTAAATATGTAAAATAAATTACCTTTATCAAAACCTAAAAAAATTGTTCTCCAATGAGCAGCAAATAACAGAAAGCTCCTATCATATAAATTCAAAATGACATGACCTTGAGAATTTTGATTTAAAACAGTACTTACAACAGGTTTAAACGGCACACTCGTTACTTTCAGATCAAGGTTTATAGACCTGATTTCTGTCCTTGTTGAAAAGACTAGGTATTCATTGATTGTAGAACATTTAGTCTGTGAGCCTGGTGCTATTGAACCGGTAGCACAGTCGCACTTGAACATAGAACCAGACATCTCCTGAGGGTATGAGAAACATAGCTGTTCGCATCCTCCATTTCCAAGTTTTCTACAAGGGTTACGATCTGGAGGCTGGTTTGTAACATCGTAAATCGTAATGTCGCGCAGTTTCTGTAAACCTGTTCTGATCGCAATAGGCCTTGTTCCATTATCGGCGAGTTTCGAGGCTTTAAAGACTGTCTGGAGATTTCTATCCACCCAATAGATTGAATCCATATGGACAGCAATGCCCATTGGATTCGGCAAATTTCTACGGATTATCTAAAAAATATAAAGAAAACATGTAGTATAAAGTGATGTAAAATTTGTACTGCAGATTACCTGTCGGAGGTTTCCGCTGAAAGAAACTTTTTGGATTGTATCAAGTCTTGCATCAACCCAGTAAACATCGTGTGTCTGCATGTCGATAGTGAGGTCTCTTGGTGTGTTGATCCCTGAAGAAACAATAGGAGTTGCATTTGTTGCATCCAATAGAGCTCTTACAATCCTTGGGTACTGCCCGTAATCAATCCAGTACAGATATCTTTTCACAGGATTCACTGCCAGTTCCTTTGGCGCATCAATCAGCCCTTTTAGGAGTATCTTTCTATTGGTACCATCAAGCCAACAGACCTCGATGTAATTCTCATGAGGGAAAACATTCGTGAAATATAAGTTCCCAGCTATCCAATCTATAGCGAGCCCGCGGATTCCATTTGAGCCAATACCGTCTTTTATAACATGTTGGAGTTCTGTACCATTAGGCCTGATCCTGAAAATGCCATTCCAAGGGCCTCTGTTAAAATCGACCCAATAGATCCATTTTTCAGCAAAGTGTACATCCACGTGGAGGACGTGATGGCCAATTCCGGATATCGGCACGATCGCTTCACTAGCATCTTTAAGGCTGTAGCCTCGGATGATGTCAAGCTGAGATACAACAGCAAACGTCTTGTAACTGCCACATCCACCTGTCTCATCTTTCTTGTAGCCGACGGAACAAGCGCAAACTTTTCCTGAATTTTCAGCAGGGATACAGATATGGGAGCATCCGCCGTTTTCCACAAAACATGGGTGATTCACCACTGAAACATAATTTACGTTAAAAAAAAGTTCTATTATAGTTTTAATAATTTAGTAATTTACATGGCTTCTTTTTAAATATAGTGAATGTTTTAAGGTCAGGCTCATTGTCAAGTATTTTCTGCAGATTTCTTCCTGTTTCAAGATCAACTCTTTCCAATTTGTCATAGCGTGAGTCTAAAATATAGAGCATTTTGTTGTGCACTGCTATTGCTTTCGGCAGAGAGATTGTATGTTCTTTTTCACTCAGCAGTGTCTTAAGATTGTTGCCGTTACTATCCATTACCATTATCTAAAATTGTAAAACCAAATTCATTAAAATATCCAGTTGTTTTTTTTTAAATTACAATTAAGTACCTTTGCAATGTTTTCTGTGCTGAAATAAATCAGCTTTGTATCAAGATCAATCGTTACGGCAACAGGCCTTTCATTGAGCTTCTGCAGTATAACAGGTTTCGTACCATCCATATTGACTCTTCCAATCTTCTGAGGTACTCCGTAGCCACCTTCATCCGCCCAGAAAAGTTTACTGAAATAAGCATTTAGTCAATGTTTTCCAAGGAGATTGAAAGTTGACTACTCACCCTTGGCTTGGATCTAGGCACATCGACCTCGGCTTTGATACAGACGTGTCGTTCCCATTGTTAACAAGTATGACAGCTCTGTGTTTCCATTTACCGTCGACCTTAATCACTTCAAGATTAGAAGCGAGACGGTTTCCAATAAAAAGATTCCTTCCAAGCCAGTCGAAAGCGATGGTATAAGGTGATCCAACAAGTCCAGAGTCTGCTGAGAGGAATTCTGTCTTGTTACCACCTCTGTACGGTGTTGTGTAAATTGTGCACTAAAAAAAATTTTTGTTTTGTATTTTATCGTTCATTTGAGGTATAGGGAAATCTTACATTTTCGCTCTCTTCATCTTTAGTCTCGACCCAAAACAGAGTTTCAGTCTTTCTGTCATAGTCGATTTGAAGTCCTGTGCTTATGCCAACGACTGGAATGAGAAAGCCACTTGTCCTGTCTCCAGGAGTCAAAGAGACATCCACAATCTGGCCTCCCTTCATTACCAGAAGAAGAGCTGTATCCTCTGAAAGTTAAAAAATAAAGTTTTTAAATTTTCTTTTATTGGTTCATTAAAAACCATTAAAAAAATACCTTCTACACATTCAGCATTGTTAACAATCTTATAGCCAGGCTGGCACTTGCATGTGTAACCAGTTTTTGATGAAGGTGATAAAAGGCAGAGTTGTGCACAGGAAGCATTCTCACAAGGGTTCGGTGTTATCGGCTGCAGCGAGGCATGGTGTACGTGTATGCTTAAAGGCTGTGAAATCAAGTGTGAGACGACAGTCTGATTCTTTCCTCTATACTTATGAGCAGAGATGACACGGTTGAGCTGTCGGTCTGTCCAGTACACTGTGTCTTCAAAGAGCGTTATCGAATGCGGGTGAAGAAGGTAGTGACTGCCTGCAATGACCTGGTACCTCGAAGAACCATCATAATTGCAGAAATCAATAAAGTCGAGCTTCGAGTCAGCAAAATATACGCGTTTGGTCGCAATATCAAGTGTAAGGCCATTAGGCCAGTAGATCTTTGTAGATATAATAACACTCCGGTTAGTTCCGTCCATACCAACACGCTCTATTCTTGGATTCTCACCCCAGTCTGTCCAAAACAACCATCTAGCGCTGAAAATTATATGATATATTAATTATTGCAGTTTCAAACAGTTGAGTTTAAAGAAAATTATTTTTTACTCAGGACTTGGATCCAACATCATCCCGCGAGGCTGTGTTATGTTTTCCTTGAGCAAAACGACCCTGTTTGAACCATTTTCCTTTGCCACTTCTATTGTGTTGAGGCGTGAATCGAGCCAGTAGATGTTCCCTCCGATCCAGTCATAGGTAAGTCCCTCGACGAGATCAAGTCCAGATACAATGACATCCTTTGGCTCACTGCTTCTGTCAATTCGTGAAATCTTTTTGAGTTTCATATCAGACCAGAAAATTGTTCCTGTATGCATATTGCTTGTAGTTGCTACGACATTTTCCACAATGATCGGCACTCGTTCTAAGCCTTGATCTTTAAGATCAGCCACAAGAATTGAGTGGCGGTTGGAAATAATCAAATAAGCTTGACTGTGGTCTAAAATAAAGTTAATTGTAATGAACATGATCAATTCTGTATACACTTAAAAAGAAAAACATACTTATCGCTTTACAAGTTGAATTGTCTAATTCTAAAATGTAACCGTCGACACATGAACATACGTAGCTGCCTTTGGTGTTTGTACAAGTTTGTGAACATGCCCCTGGTGGTTGGCATTCATTCAAGTCTTGACAAGTGATTGAATCATTGCTTAAAGTTTCCCCAGGTGGACAGGTACACATAGCCCCCTATAAAGTTCACTTTTAGTAATTTATAAAGTAAAATAAATCATTAAATTTAGTGATGGTTTTATTACAATGGGTGTTTGAACACATGAATTGCTGCAGAATGGTTTCTGGCTTGTGCATTGTGCGAGATCGCATCCTTCTCCTTCATCAGCACCGTTGGGGCAATCCAATTTACCATCACAGACAGAAGTGATATTGACACAGCGTTCAGACACTCCTGGACATTGCCACTGGCCAGAGGGACACCTGAAAGGCGGAGGGACGCAAGCATGTCTGAAATCTTCATCAGAATTATCACCGCAGTCATCCCTCCCATCGCATATGTAAGCTTTGAATATGCATTGGGAATTGTTGCATTTGAAGTAGCCCATTTGGCAAGCGACTTCACCGCAAGTAGGTGGTTCATCAGACTCATCGTCACAGTCTGCGGTTCCATCGCAGTGCCAAGCTTTTGGAATGCATATCCCTGATTTAGCACATCTGAATTGTTTTTCCGTATCACACTGATTCGGTGCAATTGTCGCTAATAGGAAAATCATTTATATTAGTAAATTAAATTATTGTTAATTCTAAGATTAAACTTACGACATCCAAGCTCATCGCTTCCATCTTTGCAATCCAAAATCCCATCACATTTGTATGTTTCTTGTATACACTGTGTTAAATCTGTGCATTTAAATTGATTCGCCGAGCAAGTGATAGGAGGGCAGTTCTTTTCATCTTGATTGTCAAAACAATCATCATCACCATCGCATACCCAAGAGCGCGGGATGCAGTGGCCAGATCTTGGGCAAGTATACTAGAAAATGTAATAAGTTAATAAAAAACAATCCAAAACTAAAGGTATTTTATAATAATATACCTGGAAATAGGCGCATGTTTTTTCAGCACAGAAATCCCCTTCATCTGAACTGTCACCACAGTCATTTTCAGAATCGCACTTCCAAGTTGTAGGTATGCATCTTCCATTGTCGCACTGGAATTGGTTTGCTGAACATGTCACATTAACACAGCCATTTTCATCGCTGTAATCTCCACAGTCGTTTTCAGCATCACAGTGGAATGATTGCGAAATGCATCTACCAGATGCACATTGGAACTCGGTGGGAGCACAAGTCGGCTTCGTGCAGTTTTGCTCTTCGTCAGAATTGTCGAGGCAATCGTCATCGCCATCACAGAGCCATGCTTTCGGCACACAACGCTGGTTGTTACAAGTGAAGTCCCATCTGTTCGGGCAAGCAGTAGCTATCGGTTGTGCATTCGGATCAGTAACACATGTTTTTTCATCTTCAGCGAGCTTTTCACCATATGGGCATCCACATTGTACCTAAAAAAATAATTGAATTTATTGTTAATAACTGGACTTTATTTCTGTTGTTTTATAAATGTCACAATTGAATACTTTGAGGTTTGTAGGTGATTTTGTCGACATTGGAATGGCATAGCACATTTTTTGACAGTTTCCGTTGTTAATCGAACAGGGATGAACTGTGAGTATGGCCTGTTCTGATTCACCATAAACTTTAACACCATACAATCTGTTTGTCTGTCCTTCTCGTACAATTATCTCTTCATCTCCCCCTGTGAACTTGTTGAGACGGATGATAGCATCCAATCTCCAGTCGGTTATATACATCCAGTCTGTAAAAAATATTTTCTCATAAAAAAATTGATTCGGTTAATTTTTTTAACTTTACCTTTGTGTATAACAATAGAAAACGGGTGTCGAATCAGTCTTGAGTTTACAGTTACAACGTCAGTTCCATCAAGTTTTGAATGTTGCACATGGTCCAAAAGAGCATCGCACCAGTATAGCCTATCCCTTGCGAAATCAACCGACAGACCGTTTGGCCATCCCAGAGTCACATTTTTAAAAACAATAAGATTGGTTCCATCTGTATAAGCCCTGCTGATATTTGCAGGTCTATCCCACTCAGAGAAAAATATATATCTAGAAAAAAAAAACTACTGTGAAAATTTTTTAAAAAACAATGCCAGACCTGTTACCCTTTGTTTGGATGAACAACAATTGCTCTGGGACGTTTCAGGTTGACTAGAAGCGTTCTCCTGTAGGTTGTGTTTCTTGTGCTAAGAACATTCAACGTGCCTTTGCGACTGTCAATATAATAGAGGTTTTTCGCAGCCCAGTCTACCGCAAGCCCTTCGACTCCTTCGTTCTGTGAAGCCAGTACTATTTCCCTACCAGTTCCGTTCTTGTGAATCCTATAAATGACATCTTGCAAGACATCCGAGTAATAGATGTGGTTGTCCCTTGCGTCAAAGTCCAACCCAACAAAGCGGGCCCTTCTGGACGCATAAGGGAGAATCGCATCGCTGAAATTTTCCAACACTGGGTCTAAAACCCTGCCTTTGATGAACCTTTGCTGCGAGTAGAGCAAAAATTGCTCCACAACTGAAAATAAAGCACATGTTGATTAACTTCCAAATTAATATATTAAAAACAATTGCTTACGGTTGCAGTTATGGAGATCTGATGCCAATCTCCAACCAACACTACAAGCACAGCGATATCCAATACTGCCCAACCCATGTGTACCTGCTGTTACTATACACATATGCTGGCAGCCTCCATTATTGCTGCTTTTACAAGGATTGTGTCCTAAAAATATTTATGTAAATAATTTTTTCTATAAGACAGGAATTCTAATAAAAGATAATGTAACTACCTCCAGGTTGTACTAGTGCATGAACGACTTTGACAGCTTTAGGCTCCCTGACATCGTTGTTCCTATAGATTACTTGGATTGAATTGGTCCCTTCATACTTATCAACGCTCATAACGCCCTGTTTTGTCCCATCTGACCAGAAGATCCTGTTTTCGAAGAGTGAAAGCCTCGAAGGCGAAGGTACAGATGTGCCTGGATAATGTTTCAATGTGAGTTTTAGTCAAAACATTAATGGATAATTATCTCACCCCTCAGGACAAGAAATCTGTGATTTCCATCATAATCAACTGTCTCGATGTAGTCGAGCAGTGAGTCACACCAAAAAACTCTACGGGCCAGAATATCCACAGTGACACCAGACGCTTTGTAAGCGGCTTCTGATACAATTGGCTTGGCATTCGTGCCATCCATGTTTGCCCGAATCACTTGATTGCTGTCTGCTATAAACATGTACCTAAAAATGTAAAATTTATTAGTATATAAATGTTGGAAATGTTAGATAAGACATACCCAACTTTTGAGTCGAGTGCGATATCAGTCGGAGCTGTGATATTAGAAGAAAGCACGATCGCGTTATATCTTCCATCCCATTCTATCACATCAATTTTCTGACCAATGCCATCAACGACGTACAGCTTGTTGCCAATCCAATCCACTGCCAGAGCAACTGGAGACCAGGTTCCAGGTATGGAAATTTCCGGCACAACATCTGTCGCTGTATGAGACTGTGTCTCCATCAAAGGTTGATAATATATCTGCCAAATCATTAATTATTAATGAAACTTTATAATCTTATAAAAATCATGGTAGTAAACAATATATTAATATAAAAATATACCTTCTTGGTTTTTGTATCTGACCAATAAAGCCGATTGGCTGCAAAATTGTAGTCAACGCCACTCGCAGCTGTTGCGTTGGCAATCAATTTTGGATTTCCAGAAATCTCCATTTTCCAGATTGATTTATCATGAGCAAATATAATCTGGGAAAAAAAGAAAAATAGTGAGTAGATTTATTTTAATTTTTTAAATTACAGTTCGAATGTACCCTCATTGATGATGCATTACTAGCAACACATTTTGATTTGTCAGACAGTTCATACCCTTGGAAACAAGAGCATACGTAAGATCCATCAGTATTTGTACACTTTTGCGAACAAAATCCCCATTCCTCGCATTCATCACGATCTAAACAAAATTTAACATTTAGTAGAAAAACAATAATGAAATTTCATTTTATGAAATTTACCGATGCAAGTTCTTGAATCATTCGCCACCCTTTTACCCTCTTGACAATAGCAAGCACCACCATTTAGAGATGCTTGGCATTTATATTGACACCCGAGAGTTGGACAGTTGTGAGTAGCTGTAAAAAAAAATTTAAAGTCAAATTACAAAAATAAAAATTTGAGTCTGATGAAAGCTTACAGCAGGCGACTTCCTCGTCAGCGTGGTCTTCACAGTCTTTCTTTCCATCGCAGAGCTGCATACGCGATATGCATTTTGGTTTTCCCCCCGGTGCACCTTTGGGGCAGAGGAATTTATGCTCAGGACAGGCGATTGCAGTGCAGTTGGCCTCATCGCTCCCATCCATGCAGTCCCTGTAGCCATCGCAGTGGTACGAAAGAGGAATGCAAAGTGCATTCGTGCAACGGAACTGACCCACATGGCAGGCGGCGAAATCTAAATACAAAATGCAATCAAACTCAAACAAATATATGTACACATAATATAATTGTAGGAAATCCTAGAGCCACCATACATTACATATTAAAAATCTTAGGATATTTTTTTCACAACAACTTACTGCAGTGCTCCTCATCACTGTTGTCCCCGCAGTCGTTCCTGTGGTTGCATTTTGCAGACAACTCAATGCAACGTTGGCCATTATGACATCGGAACTGGTCCAATGTGCAAGAGACATAGGGCGATGCATAGCAGCCCTCTTCGTCCTTGCCATTCCTACAGTCGAGGTAACCGTCGCAGCGTTTCTCCTTCGATATACAGGGTCCCGCAGTATCACAGCGAAAGTCGCTCTCGTGACATTTGCGTTCATCTGAAAAAATGTCAAAATTATTAAAATGCAGTTAGATTTTCCTAAAAAAAAATTCTTATATTATCAAGCTATCTTTATTTCAAACTCGATTTTTCATGGACTTTTTGACAAGTTGAGACTAAAAAAACTTCTTACTTGTGTATAGTGTATATTTTCTTTGCTCACAGAAAAATATTGAAAAGTATGTAACTTAACCCTTTGCCCTAAACGAACTTTACACTATCAATAACAGTAACTCTTAACCTAACCTGCCCTAGCCTCTAACCATACGCTAAATAAACCTAATTCCCAACCCCTAATGTTAATATTACCTACTCTATAACAGTGCCTACCTCTATAGCTAACCCTACCTAACAACCTAAGCAGTCACCAACCCTAATGACAACACTAACTTAACCAGTTCCTAACCATATAACCCTAACGCCAATGTTAATTCTACCTAACCAGTCATTAACCCTAACCCTAATTCTATCAAAACTAACCAGTTTCTTAACTCTATCATAAACTCTACCTAACCAATCTAGCTTGGTTCTTAATCCTAATTTAGCTAACCTAAGTAAGTAGCTCTTAACCCTAACTCCTTTGTTAACTCTTCTAAAACTATCCTTAAAACTAAACTAACCAGTTCCTAATCCTTATCCTAACCCTACCTAACCTAGTCCAACCAATGTGACAAAAATGTGTAGTTTTCTCAAAAACGTAACTACGTTAAAATAAATTCGATATCAATTTAGTGTCTGTTGTTAGCTACTCAAGTTGAAACCGATCTAAACGAAACTTTGACAAGTTGACGCCCTTTATTCACGCCAAGTCGAAGCCAATCAAACTAAGTATTTCTATTATAACTTTATGATTAATTAGATAAGCCTTAGCAGACTTGGCAGCAGCCAGGAGGTAGGAATATCATTAGAGGGCAACTCTATTATTTAATTGTGTTAACTGTTTTCAGTATAAAACGCTTTTTGACACATCGAAAAAGTTTTGTGAGATTTAAAAAATAGACAAAAATTTCATGGATCAAATGTTGAATTGGCTTGTGTATCTGTCGTAATTAATGCTTAAAGTGTGTACGAGTGTTTTATAATTTAATATTTTTTAAGTTACTGATCGAGGAGGAAAGCAACATGAAATGTAAAGTGCAGCGGGCAAAGCCAAGGCCTGGGCAGGCCCGGATGTTCGTCCAAAAGACATTCTTCACCGCGAATGTCTCTCCCATTGTTTTAGGTCAAAGATCCTTCCTGTTTTGACAGTGGGCGTTGTTTTAGCGGAAAATTAAAAAAAAAACCTCGTCGGATTTAATTCACAAGCGGTGAACTGTCGGCTGTGATTTCTACTTTCAGTTGATCTGTCGGCAGGACGTTAATACGGATTTGCCCTGGAAAGGCCGTAAATTTGAAACCCAGCCATTTTACTTTATTATTCTTCCTATTGCGGTTTTTATTACCACTTTTCGCGGTGTAAATTGTTTTTGTTTTTATATGTGTTAATTCTTTTGCCGGATAAAGGTTTTCCAATAGAACCGTGATCAATGCGAATCGTAGCCAATTCCTAATACAATTAACTCATTGATCACCACTCTCCATCATTCAGTTTAATTTTTTGAATTGTACGATATTCATGAACATTATACAAAAAGACCATATATCAGAAAATACAGTAGTAACAATAGCCACAAGTGAAAGTATTAATAATAACTGTAACCCTGTGAACCATCACACAGATACTGACCAATACGTAACCCCGGATACGTAGGTCTGAAAGGTAACGTAAACCGAACCTCCATACCTTTAACAGTATTTTTCTATTGTCAGACGTGATCAAAAGAAAATGGTAGCACCAGTGAGGACGCATAGGCAGAGAAACGTTCTATGTATCAAGACGTGTTGATTTTAGAGAATCTGAATCGTAGAAGATGTATCAACCTCATCTGGCATTGTAGGGTGAATATGGGTCCCATTTAATTGCAGGATGTCATTCAGTCATTCAGAATTTACAAAGATTACAGGAGTAGAATGCTCAAATATTTGGCTCTCCCTGCTTGTAACTCAAACATTGCACTGACAATAGTCACCACTTAAAAACTACGAGAATGTGAAATGTAGACGGTTTTTACTTACTGAGAATAAGCCATATTGGTTGAAATATCGGTAAAAGTTCCAATGTCCGCTATGTAGCTTTGTCCTGCTTATGTCCCTAACGTTGCAGTAGAGAGCGAAAATATCAGATGAGATGAACCAGTTTTTATTGAGAATCAGCCAGGATGACTGAAATATTAGCAAAAGCAGCGAAGTTCATAGAAATAGAATGCCTAAACCTATCCTATCCATGCTTATAATCCTACCGTCCCATTTACTATAGTCAGCATTTCGAAAACAACTTGAAAACTAATATAATGTGAAATAAGTGTGGATGGAATGTTTACCACGATGGACAGAAAATGCCGAAGCAAAGCGTTCTGTAATAGAATGAGCCAGATATGCTTCTCCCTAATTATAACCCCAACGTCATACTCATAACAGTGGAGAACACTTAACAACTACAAGATTATGAAATGAAAACGGACCTGTATTTTCCTGAGAATTAGCCATTATGGTATGCAATGTCCGCAGGAATAGAATACTTATACTATGATGACTGATTCTTAGTAAAAACCGGTCCATTTTCTTCTCATACTCTTGCAGTTCTCCATTGCTGTTTGCGACATTCGGGTTATAAGCACGGAGAGGCATACCTTTGTGTATATGTTCATACGAACTTCGCTACTTTTGCTACTATTCTAGCCACAATGGTGATCCTTGATTAAAAAAAACTGCCCCATCTTCATCTAACGTTCTTGTTGTTTTCGAAGCGCTCTCTACTGTAAAGGCGACGTTAGGATTATAAGCAGGGAGAGGCATACGTTTGTGCACTCTATTCCTGAGAACTTAGCGACTTTTGTTCCAAACATTTTAGCTGATTCTTCGTAAAAACGACCGGAGATTTTTATCTAACACTCTTAGTTTTAAAAAGGGCTGATAATTTTCAGTACGATGTTTGGGTTATAAGCAGAGAGAGAGGCTTATTTATGCATTCTATTCCTACGATTTTCGATTCTTTTGTTTATATTCCAACCATCATGGCTGATTCTCAATAAAAACTGGTCCCTCTTCACTAACATTATCGTTGTTTTCGAATTCAAGGCAGTATTAACAGTGTTGTGAAAAGTACATTCTGCATTGCGCGTTTTTCAGAGAAGACGTACATTATCGAAATGTTAAAAGATAAATTTCATTGGATGAGTAATTATTTGTTTACACACTCTTCAGCACCTTTTGGCATTGTGTCTGTTCAGACAGGTCTGACGTACAATAATCTGAAAACACGGCTTATTCTGCACAAATTTGTACTTGTGTAAAAGTTATACCAAAAGGCACCGCATCCAATTAACACCTTTATTTTAAGGCACATTTATAAAAATGTTATGTCTAAATTTATAAAAATTTGACGTCCAAGTTGTTTTGATTGGACAGAATTATTGTCATAAGTATGCCCCATCTCGAGATGTCTTCATTGTAGTAAAATTCTTGGCACGCCGTTGCCGTCACGTTTTAATTAAAGCGTTTATTACAAATTTATAACTGGAAATAATATTTGAAGAGCGGGCAATACGTAAAGTAAATATTTTTTCACGGGTTCTCATTCCCTGGGGACTGGAAGCTCACATCGTTCGAAAAAGGGCTCCCTTATCAGCACAAACCGCAAAAATAAATATAATACAATCCCACACTTCAAAATTGCTTATATTACAAAGAGAACAAGTATCATTTGGTGGTTTTACGACGTTTAATCTAGAAATCGCTGCCAAAGCTGTAAAAAAGCCCAGTTGACGAAAGTTTATCGTTTCAATACAAACAATACAACGCACAACATTAAATCAATAAGTCCGAGTTTAGTTCCTGTCACGAAAACGTCATGTCTTATTTCAGTGTGGGCGGATTTTAATCTAGAATCCCCCATGCTTGTTTTATGATTACGTTATAAAAAACAAAGACTTCTCCAGGCTTATAACCCAAACATCGCACTGACAACAATAGGCAATGCTTTGAAAACTACAAGAATATGAACTAAGAACCAGTTTTCATGAAAATCAGCTATGATGATTTGAAGATGGGCAAAAGTTGCAAAGTTCGCAGGAATATAATGCACTAATGTATGCCTCTCCCTGTTTATAACCCTAAAGTAGCATCGATAACAATAGACAGTACTTTTTTTTAAAATTCATTTGTTAACTATACATGATAGTTTACTATACAAATATGTACACACGATTAATATATCACACAGCACAACACTAGCACTAATGCCAGCACTGCACCGGTAGAACACATGCTTTGAGGAGCCAGCTTTGTATGATTGAGGGTCAAGGAGGTCCCGAGGCCATCGTCCGTTGAGGCGACGTGGTCGGTTGTCAGGCTGGGAATGAGTGGATAGGGCTCGAGCGGTATGGTTAGGATGGTTAGAAAGGTTGGTGTGGAAAGTTTGGTATCTGGACCGGATTTGTTCGTCGACAAAAGGATATTGAGATCTTTGTGGATAGTGAGGTTAGTGACATAATAAGGTGTTTTGAAAATTTGTCTAAGGACTTTCGATTGGAAAGACTGGATATGCTGGATATTGGAAGGCTTGGCAGTACCCCACAGTTCCACTCCATATATCCATATCGGTCTTAGTAAAGTCTTGTACAGTGTTAGCTTTGTCTTAATTGTCAAAGTCGATTTCGGTCTTAGAAGTCTTCGTAATAGTCCAAGTCTTGCATTAAGTTGCTGTTTTTTTAGTCTTGTGTGAGGATTCCACGTCAGTCTGCTGTCGAAAAAAATTAAGCATCTTAATCAAGCAAATCAACGTTTAGCTTGGGCTTTTCCTCTTCCAGTAGAAATCTCACAATCAGCCTGCCCCTTTGCAAAAATTGCAAAGTTCGCAGGAATATAATGCACAAACGTATGCCTCTCCCTGTTTATAACCGTAACGCAATTGAAACGATTTTTCAGTATTATACCGTCTGAATGACGGCATTTTTATTACAGAGTGGAGGGTTTATTAATCTAGAATCCTCTATGTTTGTTTGATGATAGAAGAAGAAACCATACGTCTCTCCCTGTTTATATCCCGGACGCAAATCACTGCATTCTTCAAGAATTTTTTGTCTGAATCACTTCATTCGCGGTGGGTGAAACTTTAGTCTAAATCCGCCGTGTTTGTTTTAAGCTAGAAGAAGAGCCACCTTATGGCTCTCCTTGCTATTAACCCTATGCGACTGCAACGTTGTTAATGCAATTTTTGATGATTTCATTAGGACTTTAAATGTCGACTACGATTCGTATAACGTAAGGACGAAAACCATAAAATAAGGTTGGTTATATTATTCCTACAAATTCATAAATTTTATGTTGCCTGTTTCTTGGATAAGGGTTATTTTATGTTAATGATTGTGGAATGTTGAACCTGAACCGTGTCCAGCCAGGTGGTTCGGTTAAAGAACAGGGCGAAGAGCAGGTGAAAAGAAACCACTTACGCATGGCAAAAATGATTCAAAATAACTTTTATATGCATCTGTGGCTGTTTTTATGGCATTTTCCTCCTTATTCTTTGAAAGATTCAAATTCTAAATGGCCGGCTCAGCCGTGATTCGCATACGGTTCCGCCGGGATCACTCGTCTGTCTCTAATTGGGGCCGACGTACACGCCTGCTCCGGCCAACCTTGAACTCGTCGTACTCCTTTTGATTCCAGTCCAATGTCGACCGAATGCAGGGGGAAAATAAATCGAAAACCCGTTACAGATCGGCCCTGCCTTTCTGAATTGAACAGGGATAAAAGGTCAACATGAGATGATTTGCATAACGCAAATATTTGAAAAAGTCGCGTGTATACAGCCAAAAAAGTGATCATTCAAAAATAAACAATGCTGTAGAAAACCTCCCCCCTCAAAACTATTAACATTATCTAATCAGAAATGTACCATAAAATAACTAACCTACAATTTTAATTTTTCACTTCACAAACCACCTCAAAACAAAATAAACTCTCCCTTTCGCCCAAAAAATTGGAAATGTCCAAAAGCCAGTGTAATAAACGGCGCTATCGATTTTATTACCAGATGGACAAACGATACACATTTGTGACGCGTTTTTATTTCAGTGGTCATCTTGGAATTATTGACTCGCAATATAAATCTAAAAGTTATGAAAATCAGCTATAATTGAATATAAATTTCCATTCTTTTTTTTGCTATTGTTCTTTTATTACATATTCTCCTGTTCTCTATTTCTGCCTCCTCTCTCTAGTTCACTCACCCGCTTCCTCCTAATTCAACTATTAAGCAAACTAGCCTTATTCTTTGCTACAGCTTGTATGTAATCGTTAATCTCTTTTCTTCATCTTTTATATCGCAGATTTATTCTATGTTTTATTCAATATTTTATTCTTCTTTCTATCTGTGATTTGTTTTTCTTGTTTTGGAATCTCTCAGCCAGTCTGACTGTCACTCTCTCTTTCTCTCACTCTCTCATTCCCTTTACCTCTCGCTCTATATTTATCTATCTTCCTGCCTATTTAGTAATGTCTTCCTTTCTCTTCCTCTCTCTCTACCTATCTATCTATCCACCTATCTCCATTAATCCATCCTATTACACACTTTATACCTTTCCAGCTTCTATTTATTTATCTTTCCCTTCCTCTCTACTACGTCTTTATTGCCCTCTTTCTTTGTCTCTCTCTCTCTTTCTCTCTCTCTCTCTCTCTTTCTCTCTCTCTCTCTCTCTCCCTCTCTCCCTCCCTCTCTCTCTCTCCCTCCCCCTCTCCCTCCCTCTCTCTCCCTCTCTCTCTGTACTCTGTAGAGGTATTTTTTGGTCAATCCTATACGCACTGTTTATGTCTGGCAGACGCTTTCAGCAAGTTAGATAATCCAAATATTTCATGGTTGAAGTGCACCTAAATATTTGTAACGGTTGAATTTGTAGTGTAGAGTACACTCTCGTGTACATTGGAATGTCAATTGTTGGTTCGATCTTGAGTTGGTCATTTTCATTTTAATGTCTTTCTGATATTGTTCTTGTCACAGGCTAAATTTTGTGAGAATTGGGGGTTTAGTAATGNTCTAATCTATCTTCTATCTATCTATCATTCTTTGCCTGCCACACTACCTACCTTTGTTTGCTTGTATTCTATTCTCAGAATATGATTTTACTTTACTGCCTCCTACCACTCATTCACTCTCTCTCTCTCTCTCTCTCTCTCTCTCTCTCTCTCTCTCTCTCTCTCCCTCCTCTTTCTCTCTTTTCCTCGCTCTCTGTCTTTATACTTCTCTTTATCTATTTAAAAATCTACCCCGTTATATCCATATATCTCTCTTTCTCTCTCTCGTGAAAATTTAATAAAAAAGTAGTAAAACATTTTTTCTTCTATTCTTTTGTAAAATAAATTGTAACGACCAAAAGAGTCTGCACAAATTGTGTGTATATATATATGAATAGTGTATATTGTACAACACAATTCATATTAACTGGAAGAGTCTACGAGTCCTAACTCTGCGTTCTTAAATAAGCGTTTAATCAATCAATCAAACTATATCTACCTATCGATCTGTATCTATCATTCTACTTACCTACCTATCTCTATCTATCTACATTTTTCTTTTTCTATCTCTATAAGGATAGGCAATTATCTGATTGCAATGTTAGGATGCAGGTGTTCTTCCGACTGCACTCTCCCCCTCCAGTAAAACCTAATTGTTTGTATTTTCATTCTTAAAGATTAATTACTTGCCTATTTATTAGTGCAGGCACATCATTATAGTTGGTAAACTTGTACGTTGAAAATAAAGTTTTTTGAAGGGAATGAAGAAATTAGGTAATTTATATCTATCTCACTCTCTCATTTTAGTTTTTTCTCTCTGTTCTTTTCATTTTATCTCTCTAGCGCAATCCTATTTTAATTTTACCCTTTTTCTCCCATCACCCTTTCTCTCTTTCTAAAAAAAAATACGGATTTTATAAATTATACTAAAGTAAAGAAAGAATTAGTTTAGTTAGTAGATTGGACAAAAAATCACATCAGATTATTTCGTATTTGTTACTTTTTTTATAGCAAGCATACACGGTTCAGTTGTTGACATAAATGCCTAGTACACACGAGTACATATTGATTTTCCATGTATAACATTTAGGAGGGGAAAATGGTCTCACAAAGGGAAAATATACAACAAAAGTAACACATAAGGTAGTAAACACACTTCAAACATAAAACGTAACAAGCCGCAAACGCAAACACATGGAATATTCTCACATAAACTGCCTCGGCAAAAGCCTATAACGTAAAAAAGAAATAGCCCTTTTCAGGTTTTCGTGAAATGAAATTTTAATAAATACTTACTTGTACAATCGGCCTCGTCGGTGCCGTCTACACAGTCGACTGTCATGTCGCACCTGTAGTGAGGCGGTATGCAGTATGTCTTATTCCAGACGTATTGGCCGCAGGTCTGCTGACCGAACTCGCAATCGGGAGGCGCTGGCGATCGATATAGATTAGGTAAGTTTATTGTTTTATTTTACGGTTGTACTCACGGCATGACTGGAACTCGTCCTCTCCTTTCTCGCAGTTCTTCTGGTAGTTGCAGACCTGACTCGACGGTATGCATTTCCCTTCAGGACACCTGAACTGCCCGGCGCCGCATGTGTGCGTCCGTTCTGTAAAAGGCGAATACCAAAAAGAACGCCCTGTTAAAAAACACGTTTTCTTCTTATGTTTAAATTAGGTCGGATAATCCCTTGTCGCGGATGGGAGGCTTGCAAAGTTTCCTCTCAGTAACTTCCAGTCGAGCCGGTGTACATTCGTTTGAAACTTGACAATAATCTTTTTTGTTCTAATGAGATTACAAAGTATGACCGAAAAAAGACACTTTCTGGAATACAACCGTCGAATTACAACTTCTGCCACATCTTGTAATGATGAGACGTGCGATGACGACGAAAAAGTTTCACCCTCAGTGTATATTTACTTTTGAAAACCCTTATTTATTTTCCAAAAAAAGTAAACTTTTTTGAAATTGTTCTAACGAGTTATAGTTGACACATTCACAACGGGCAAAGGAAGAAAAATGTGGAATAATCAAAAAAATATGACTAAAACTATCCCTAAACTTTTTAAATTATCTAATACCGCCAATCTTAAATTTATTTAAAAAAATGATATCTAACAAAAATAAAAAATAAAACAGTATTATAATTCGGAACCTAGCAGCAGAAGGGGATGCTTCGATTTGGAAGAAAACTGATGACAAGCTTCTATGTTTCTTTTATATTTTATCTTTTATCTTCTACAAAAAAGAACATGTAAAAGGCAAGATGTATGTGTCTTTAGAACTATTTTATACCACCCATCTTCTTATACAAACAAAAATACTTGATATTTAATCAAACCAAGATAGTGTTCTTCTCCAAGAAATTTTTTTTCTGGCTGACTTCTTTTAAAGTTTCTTTTATATTTTTATCTTTTATCTTCTATAAAAAAGAACATGTTACAAGGCAAGATGTATGGTCTTTAGAGCTTTTATATACCACCCATCTTCTTAAAATAGCAAAAATATTTCATATTCCAAAAAACCCAAGATGGTGTTTCTCCAAGAAAATTTCTTTCTGGCTAACTTCTTTTCAAGTCTCTTTTATATTTTTATTGTTCATTTTCTACAAGAAAGAAGATACTTCGATCTATGTTTCTTTAACCTATTGCATACCATCCATTTTCTTAAAATAACAAGAATATTTGATATTCTAAACAAACTAAGATGGTGTTCTTTTCCAAGAAAATTCTTTTCTGGCTGACTTCTTTTACTGTTTCTTTTATACTTTTATCTTCTATAAAAACGAAAATATTTCAACGCAATATGCGTTTTGTAAATGTTTTATACACCCTAGGGGGCTTTAACTTATAAAAATATTTGTTATTCTATTCAAACCAAGATAAGTTTAGTTTATATTTCTACTTTTATTTTCCGTTAATATCAGCAAGTTTTTGAGCAAGATAAGGTTTCTGTAAAACCAAATATCCCAGCTATCTTAATGTTATAAGAATCTTAGTCTTCTAATCAAACCACGATTTGGGGGGCGTCGTTGGCCGCAACGGTTTAGGCGTTGACACGGCGCTCATCACTGTAAGGTAAAAGTCCCGGGTTCGAATCCGGCGGCCCTTCATTCGAACCCGACATACTTACCAATGGGCTTTTTTTTCAAAATCACCGGCACCCCTCTGCTGTTGCAAACTCTTGTTAAACAAAGAAAAAAAAGAAGATGATGTTCTTCTTCTGAAAAATTATCTTCTCGCTGCCTTCTTCTCAACGTTTCTTTAATATTTCTTTTATTTTCCACAACGAAGTATATTTTCGTAAAACCATCTGATACTACTCATCTTCTTAAAGTTACAAGAATATTTATTATTATATTTAAACGAAGATGGTTCCTTCTCCCAAAAAATTCCCTTCTGATTTAAAGTTTCTTTTATCTTCCAGAGTGAGCAATTTTCAGGGCAAGTTGTGTTTCACAATAAAAACGGCTGCTTTGCCAGTTTTCGGCACTTTTTATTTGCCATCCCCACAGCTATTGAATCAACCAACAATATTTTCAGTTTAAACTTTATTAATTTCTGACACATAGACTATTTCTTATTATATTATTACTGTTATTCCAAGATGTGTTTTTGTCTCCAAAAAACCTAGTATCTCTCCTATTTATAATATTTGAACTCCAATAAAAATTCATAGCCATCATGTGACACCCATCATTAAGAATTAGCGGGAAGATTGAATTACAAATTCAAATACTGAACGATTAATAATCAAAACGGAAATAATACATATTCAATCGCATGTAAATGAACATACATGCAGATTTGAATGATTTAAACATGTAGCAACTATACACGAATCCCATTAGTATTTTCATAAGTCCATGCCTAAAAGTGCAAGGGTATGAAACAATTTTGAACAAAAGAATAAAATCTGTTGCATATTTTATCTATTTTTACGTCATGTATAAATAAAAGAATGTCTCACGCTCCGAGGTTGTTCTGCAAGCAAAAAATAAGTGAAAAAGCCGAGTGGAATCGGATATCATTGATATTAGATCGTTTAAGCGGACAGGGTACACGGTTTTGCTAGATGGATCAAAAGAGGAATAAGTTGTGCTGAATATTAAAAATTCTTACACGATTTGCGCCCAAAGATTTTTTTTTTCCGAAAAGAGATAAATGCTTGCTCTATGAAAGGTTTTGTTATAGTTTAATAATTAGGTTAATCATAAGTAAAAGCCTTGTTATTAAAGTGTCAACAAGTATATGACGAGGAGCTCAAAGACCACCGGGTCATTGTTCCTCTATAATTTACGCCTGTTATGTTCGGCCTCGTTTCGATTTGCATTTGGATTTTTCCGAAAAGCATTCCATCAGTGACAGGGTCTCGTATCGGGATTCCGGTCGTGAATGCTAATGGAAAACCGATTCGAGGGGGCGGCCAGGGGGTTGGCGCGACCCCAGGCCGAAGGGGCGAAGTCCTAGATGTCAACTATGACATCCAATTATTAATTTCGTCCGGCGAGGATGAGTTTTCGTTTTTAAAACCCCTTTCTTTCTTAATGCGTCGAACTTGCAAATGATTCGTAATTTTCATTTTTTTTTCTAAATATGTTCTTGTATGTATGTTTCTATATTGAAGCTACTCTTCGTTTTATTAAGTTATTTGGAGATAGTGAGGTGCGGTCTGGTGTGACATAGGTTTTAGAAAAACATTTTCTTTGCCAACGTTTCGATCTTTATTGAGATCATCTTCAGGGCTCAAAGTGTTTGTTTTCCGTGTAGATATGTCATTCTTGTGTGTCGTGTTTAGAGTGCCCACGATCCATCTACACGGAAAACAAACACTTTGAGCTCTGAAGAATATCTCAATAAAGATCGAAACGTTGGCATGATAACGAAAATGTTTTTCTAAAACCTACGTCACACCAGACCGCACCTCACTATCTCCAACTAATCATTAGCTAACGGTCACAAAACACCACACGTTTTATTAAGTATTTATTCTCTATCTTCTAGCATGTTCTACCTACTTTGTTTGTTCATTTTATCTGAATATTTCTTACTACCACGCGCACACTCACCCTCTCTCTCTATTTACCTTTATCTATCTATCTATTTATCTATCTGTCTTTCTACTTACCTATCTCTTTCTTTTTCTCTCATTCTTTGCATGTGAATCCATCTACCAATGTTTGCTTGTTTATTTTCTAAAAATATTTTTACTATCTCCTAGTCACTCACTCGCTCTCTTTCCCTTTCACTCTCTCGCGCTATCTCTATCTACTTATCTATCTATCTATTTTTTCACGTTCTTTGCCTGCGAGTCTATCTACCGATGTTTGTTTGCTTGCTTTCTTAGAAAATTATGTACCCTCTTCTACTCCCACTCTTTCTACTTCTCTTTCTCTCTCTCTCTCTCTCTCTCTCTCTTTTCCCACTCTTGCTTTATTTACCTATTTATCTGTCTCATCTTCCTGATTTTTCTATATCACTATTTCTCTCTCTCCCTCTCTCTCTCTCTCTCTCTCGCTCTCTCTCTCTCTCTCTCTCTCTCTCTCTCTCTCTCTCTCTCTCTCTCTCTCTCTCTCTCTCTCTCTCTCTCTAATTCTTTGTCTGCCAACACAACTACCTTTGTTTATTTTTTTGTTTCTTTGAGTTCTATTCTCAGAAAATCTTTTATCTCTCTCTAAGATTTACAGTTTGCCTTTATAGAATCATACACACACACTGAAGATGACGAAATGCTGTTGAAAATGCGCCTGACAGCCTAACTCAGTGAGGAAAGGCAGACCAAAATGATCGGTAACGGAGTTAAATTTCACCTTCATCACCTCGTAGACAACAAAATCAAATATGTTTACATGAAATGTCAATATAAATATCCGTTGTCCATGATTCGTTACCGTTGTTTTATCCAATGTTTAGAAACGTTCGGCATCTGTTCTATTTAACCACGGTTTGAAAAGTTCTATTATTAATCCCTCCGTGGATTTCGATGGGTCACGACCGATGGAAAGCCATTTCCACGCGAATAGATAATTTGTCCGTTTTCGTTGTTCCGGAGTGACAGAAAGCCAACGAGCTTCCCCCTGAATAATTTATCCACGTTGATTATCCACCAATCGATCAGCTCTTCCCTCTTTCTAATCCACATTTTTCTAATCCCAGCCAACTCTGATCAACTATTTTTTAAATTATTTCGCGTTGTTTAAAATTGTGACTTAATATTCACACAGGTAAATTAAGTCTTTGTTGTAATTTGAATATATTCACTGTGTTTGGTTGAGAACCATTTTGGATAAAAGTGTTAACAACGGCGCGTTGGTTTTTTTTTTTTCGTAAACCGTATTTTCCCCTTTGACAGGCACTTGAAAGGTTGTTTAATTATCGAAAACCACGTCCGGGACCGGCGGAACGGCCAATTTCCTCATTACTTTCAACCGGGCCGATGTTGTAAAACCTTCTTCGATTCATTGCGGGCCGAATTTCCAAACGGGGCCGTACACGGATTTGCACTCACGGGGGCCGTTAAACGGACGAGATTAAGCCCGTTGGTTCGTACATCGGGAATATTTGCTTTATTTCTCACGACACAATGGGAATATGTTCCTCTTTTTTAAAA